ATTACAAACACATGAGAAGTTAGTCTTACACCAGGATCTAACTTTAGAGATCTCTTGTTTTTCTGGAAAGTATAGGGGTACACTCCTTAAGGTGGGACTCTACAGCCTACCTTAGCGAAGACTGTGACTAGTATTCCTACTAGTCTTTAGACCAAATCTGTGTAACGGTGAGGTAGCCTGGGAAAATAGGGACAAGAATAACAGGCAGTTCCTGAAAGACAGTCTTGGCTGGAAGGGTAGAAATGTCAGCTATGGAGGAGGATTCACGGCCGTTTTTAATTCATCTAATCTGGCCCTCTGTTAGATTTCAGACTTGAGCCAGACAAAAAAAGTGACATATCAATAAAGTTACTGGAGAGAAAAAAAAAAAAAAAAAAAAAAAAAACAACAACAAACCAAAAACCTGATTCATTAGTATCAGAAAAACATTCCTTGGTGTTTATCTGTATTCCTCAACCGTGCCATATAGTTTACATATGTATTTATGCAGAGACCATTTTCATCTTAGGTGTGACAGTAGGGCTTTGTTCTCCTCTGAGATTCTAGGCCTAAAGTCCTGTGGCTACCGTGTTTGGGAAACGAAGTTTAAAAAATAATCTCCAAAAACCCATATTCCACTTCTCATGTCATTTATGTTACTCGGGTCAGGTTTCTTTTTTCCCCCCTTATTTTTTTTCTCCCATCTGTGTTTACTACAATCCAAGGCACTGTTTCTGTACTTTATGAGAATGAAATGCACAAGCTGCTGATCTTCAAACCCTACTCACAACCGAAAATATTTCTCAGTTTACCAGTTTTGAAGAAAACAACTTCAAGACAAATCAGACCCACAAAACACTTCAGTTTAAAATCCTCTTTAAAGCCTTCACTGTGACACAAAGAATCACTGACTCTGTGACACGAGGCAATCATAGATTGCCTTAAATCTGTTCTGAAGTATATATGCCTCAAGAGTATGGCACTCAGTTAGGACTAGGTTGTTTTTTACAGTAAGAGCAAGGACAAAACAAACAATCATCTTTTGGAGGGAATTTCTCGGACTGCCTAACAAAACAGGCCACTAGAACCTATTTAAGAGAGATGTTGTCTTCTCTGGTTTCTCAGCAGACACAGCCAGCTATGATTCATGGACTATTTTTTAGTTATTATTTAGGTATTTAAAGTCCACTTAGTTAGAGGGGGGCAATAGCTGCTCAACAGAAAACAAAGGCAGAGCAGTTAATTTCTTGTGGATTGGCGCTCAAACTGATGAAAGCCCCAGGACAAGCTCAGGCACCACATCTCTGTGCTGTCAGGCACACGCACAGTGAGAGTCTGGGTTCCAGCACGGTTTATTCGCTCTAAACTCATCAGCAGACGCGTGCTGACCGCAGCTGAGCCGGTCAGATACCTATCGTCACAACACTTGAAACTGGTAAATCTGCAAATTGGGGAATGAATGCTGAGAGCCTGCTCGGCCCCGAGCACCACCTAAAAAGCACAAGGAGATAGAGCCCTCTGAATGGGTCTGCAAGAGCCAGCTGGGACCACGCGGGCTCCAACGGCCAAACTACCTCATTTTTTTTTCCATTAATTAAAATGTCCCCAACTTCCATCACCCCGCCATAACGAGGAGTTGATTACAAGTTCCCTCTGATGGGAAACATCAAATCCAGTAGTTGTAGCTAATCAAGAGCAGTGTAACCATTTCGCATCTCTCTGCCTGAAAAGTTGAGTGCCAATGCAGGCTGAGATGAAAATACAGAGCGAACGTATTCTGACATTGCTGTGAAGTATTTATTGAGTTGGAAAGTTGCTGGCCTTTATCTTCCCACGTGCTGGGTGTATCTCCATCTGCAGGTACAGGTACGATGCCTTTTTTGCCTGCGCTACAAGGCCACTCCCTGAAGACAGTTTGCTCATCTCACTGACAATCTATTCGCTACACACGGTTCTGCACAAAAAAGCCAATACACCCTTTGAGATCCTATTTGCAGCTGAGAGTTCAAGAACTGGCAGGTAAACTGCAAAGCACTCCCAAGTGCTCTCTATGCTTTAACGCATCGTACCAAAGCTGCTCAGGCATCTGTCTCTAACCGCAGCTGGTTTTGACACTGGACGTGCAATAAATACCTTGATATTCAGAATTATATGCAGCTCACCAGCCCAGGTTGCCAACACGCCACAGTTTACCACTGTGGCTGCAGGGCTGAAATAAAAAACAATGCAACTATCTCACAGCAGTAGCGGAAGCTTCCCAGTATTCTTCTTCTACCAGCAAACCACAACGCACCTGCACAAGACTTTAGTTCTGTGGTACGGAGGATGCTTCGCCACTGAATGATTACTGTCTAAATTAGAGATGGTGTGACCCATTATAATTGTAAGAAACAGCTGCATGTTATGCAATTACAAACGGAGCCTTTTCTCACAGATCCTTCAGCACTGCTTTAGTGTTGTTCTGGAAAAAGTCTTGGCCTCTGCCTTAAGGCTTTGATTTATCATGAGGCCAGAAATTCCTGCCTTGACTAACTACAGAATGATATTAAGGAGAGGTACAGCCACTTATAAGCACTTCCTTCTCTTATATAACTGTGAGAACAGAGGAGAAAATATACAGATGTGAGCAAAAAAACAGCAAGCCTGTGGGGCTTACCTGGAAGAAGCGTACTTAACACCAAAAGCCTCAAGAGGTTAAAGCATTACTGTATTTCCTCTATATCCACATTGTATAGCGGAGGCTACAGAGCCAAAACAAGGAGAGCTTGCTGTATTTATGCAATCAGGACACGCAGTAGGGAAAAACTCCTTATGGCTCTGAAATGGAAATGTGAAAGCTAAGCAGCAGTTGAGCAGAAACGCCAAATTCTGAGCAGAAACCTTCCTTCAGCTGGATCAGGCAGTGAACAGGATACCACGCCTGCATAAATGATTTCTTGAGGACTTGAATACCAAGGCAAATGAGCAGAGCCCAAATAGCAATATCCTCTGCAACGTAAGATACCTAGATTAATACAACGGCACATCCAGAAGCAGAGCACAGCAGTGCTCTCCAACCCATTTACCTTGATATCATGTTCAGCATTTCGTTTTCTCTGCACGTGGTCGTTTATTACTGTGCATGGCTAATTCTTCCCTTTGTTCTCCGCTCAGATCTAGCCATCTTTTACAAAAAAAAAACAGCCAGTAGACAACATTGACCCTCTTTTCCATTAGAATGTTAGATGCTAAGAAAAACAGGGTAGGAAATGATAGAACATCAGTGCTAACAATAAAAAAAAAAAAATCTGCATTTTAGCACAACATTCAAACAATAGCATAGCTTAAGGATTTAAATCTATAGCAGTGTCTGCAACACTTAGGTGTTGCAGGTTTTTTTAACCTTCTCATGTGGACCATAGCAGCAATGGGGTTCTGACAGTGATCCCCTATATATTAACAAATAAATATATCTATACAAATGCCGTGTCACTTTGTCCTGTTCCCTTTCTGTGAATCAGTTGATGGTTATAGTCTCTGGGCTTCCCTGAAAACAACAGGGGATGTTTCTAGGAAGCAGCCAGAAGGGGCTGATAAAGGAATAGGTTCATGAAAAGGGAGTTTTGGAGTCTGTTTTGCAGTTACGTAGACCTAGAGCCATGAATCAAGTGAGGAGAAAAAGACTGCCCTTTTGTTGGGTGGTGAGAGGAAACTGTAAAAGTTGCTCAGCCTGCTGGGACTTAAGATAAATATAGATCCAATAAAACGGGTACAAGTCCGAAAAAACTCTTGAGTAACAGTCCAGACCTACTGCTGCAGTTGTTGCTGTGACAAGATGCTTGAAGCTACACAACCTGAGGGTTCAGAAGATCGCAAATCCCGCACCACAGACCCAATTAAACATTCTGGCTGAAGATGTTCCTCACATCTGGAAGGCTGAATTCAAAGCTGGAGAAAAGACTCCTCAGTCCTAAAGCAATAACCATCATCAAGTGTTGACTAGTCACAAAAAAGGGCTGAGGGGCTGCTATTGTTTCAAGAGGAATAGACCAGCCACTCATCCTGGTCAGTGGAAAGCATATAACTACAGTAGAGCAAACACATGCAGGAAGCAGTAGAGCTAATTTGAAAATATGACTAGATCTACAGCATGTTACACTTAAAATCTACACACTAGAATTGAAGTATAGGAAAAAGATGTGCATAACAACAGAATAAAACGTCCAAAGCATTTAAAAATCTGGATATGGACACTGTACATTCCACATATTAAAAACCCCACCTAAATTAAAAAAAAACCCTCTTCATATCTTATCACATCTGAGCTCTAGATGTCTGGACAGTATCCAATGCATTCCTTACTTAATCTGACTACTTCTGAGTTTGAAGAAAAAGAACAACAGACTTCACAAGCAAGAACCCACCTGAAGAAAGGGCCATTATCATTTTATACATTTTAATACAGGAAGCCCCCAGCCTCGAAGACAAACGCACACGGCTGTTACCCCTACACTGCAGACACTGATGTCTCAAACCACACCGACTACTCTGCTGAGTTGCAACGCTGTGGAAAGGGGCAGCATCACAACCTCATACACTCACTACTCCCGTCTCTTACACCCGGGCCCCGTTTGCACGGGAAGCGTCGGTACGCTGTCACACACGTGCCGTGTGGTTGGGAAGGAGGAATCTTCCACCTACGCTTGTAAGAGGACAGCAGTAACTGCACATTCTTAACTGTTCTTAAGAGCACAAAAACCACAAGTCCCAAATTGTATACAAATTTAATGACTTAAAAAATGGCACTTTTCAGTACAATTAACGTTTTTTTTTTTTTTTTTTAAAAATTATCAAAATTTCAGCATAGTATTTCTGCTAATACATCTATAGTTTTTTTAAAGAATATTTACACAACTGTATTGAAAATAAGACTTCTTAAGCACATGAAAATTTAAGCAGAAAATAGCTTACGGGTAAACCGGCAGTAAAGTAATATGGCTTCCTGACTGCTGTACTGATCAACAAAAAAAGGGGATAAAAGCTGTTACAAAAAGATTTATTTCTATGTTTGCAATTTTGCACAAGCACCCCATGGTTTAGGAACCACTACACACAGACAAATCTATTAAAACAGAGATCTACGCTGTACCTGTAAACACATTAAGAAATATATTTTGATAATATCATCATTCATTGATTGCTTTAAAAAATCTGAGCTTAAAATCCGAGTGCAAATAAATTTACATTAAAAAGCTGTAATTTCCATTACTGAATTGATTTAAAAACTGGTTCTGTGACCGTTAAGACTATTTTCTTGTTCTTGCACTTGTTCTTGTGCTTGATCTTGTCTTCCTGTCCATCCCTCCAGCCGTCAGAGTAGCCCTTACAGCCTCTTTGCCAAGTTCTTCTTTAGCTTTGTTTCTTTTTCCTTTTTGTAGTGATTTATTTTCATCCTTCTCTATTGGTACACAAAAAAAAAAAAAAAACACCAAACTATAAATTTGTATCATAAGTCAAACATTTTATACAAAATTCAATCTTCGGTTACTTTGTTTTTAAAGGAAACGTCCCTGATGACTACATTCCAAAGATTACATCTATGAATTCAACAAACCAGTTACAAACCCCGTACTTCTGCACATCCAATATCCTTTAAGATAGATCCCTGAGGACTTACTGCTATTTCTGAAAGTAGGTTAACATTAATGAGAGCACCAAAACCAATTAGCTACCATTTTAGCTAAAATTCCTTCTACTGATATGTAAAACTAAAACATATCCAATACGGAAGAAAAATCCCGCAAAACTGAATTTATAGTAACTATTTTGTGGTCCAGATAAAGCTGGAAAGTCGGGTTTTTAAGTGTAAAGAAAAGACTAGACACCTAAGTATCTAGATGGGACAGAAAAGTTAAGCTGCTCCAAGAGATCAGCATCAACCCAAGCACCAGACATGGAAACAGACACCAAAATCTATGTGGGGAAAGATGACATCCCCAGAAGAGAAACTATCCGGGCAGGTAGTAAAGCATCAGAAAAGATCCATCACTTGGTAAGTACATACAGCAGTATCAGGAAGCAGGAAGTAGCAAGTATGTAAAGGAAAAGAAAAGAAAACTCAATAAACCAAGACAGATACATGGCAAAGGAGATGCACACATTATGTGAGGATAAGCACATGCGATAGAAAAGGAAAAGAGCCAAAGAGAAATGAAACAAAGGGCATGGTCAAATCCCGATAAGGTTTTTAACACAATTTGGCAGGAAATTCCTCAACATGTTGCTCTAAAGATGCACTGTTATTTCCATTTGCATGCATTCATTTGATAACATTTTCTAATTGCATCAGGGCCGTTATTAAGTTTAATCACATCGAGCTGAAAATCCCAGGGAATATTTTAGACGTCTACAGCAAGAGTTCTATTGGCTTGGGGAAAGCAAAACAGTAAAGGAGGAAATTGGAGCAGCGTGGAACTTTTGCTGTCTCTTCAGCTCAAATACAGCTTCAAGCTCTTTTATCACCAACTTCAAAACCACAGCTGATAACTAGTAAAGGTCCTCCAAACCCTAGAGCTATAAAAGCAGCTTAGACGGCATTTAGGAGAAAACAAGATGAACAATGGATGTTATAAACTTGTGATTATCACGTTCTGTCCTTACCACCACCTTCTCCATGTAAGTTAGTTGCTGTATTTACTCTAAAACGACAATTCACTGTTACGAATCGAGAAAGAATGCATTATAGCATGAAGACATTTGGATACCCCAACAGAGGAATAATACATGTCACATCTCATAAAATCCATCCCTTCTACTTAGGAAAAACATCTTGTTTAAATAAGGTAGCATAGACCTTATTTACTTAAGTCTTCTTGCTCTACAAAGCCCTTCTCTGTATCTGTATTAGAGCATGGCAGCCAACAGTAATACTAGAATTTTGTACACATTATTGTTACATATGTAACTTAACTATATTTAGAAAGCAAATGCTTGCCTCACCTGATTTCAATTTTTTGGATGCTACGTCATCTGCTGGCAACTGACATTTTCTTCTGCGAGAAGTGGAGGTTGCCTGTTGTAGAGGGTTAACCTCTTTTTCTTTTCCAGACTGATTATTTTTTTCAGAACCAGTGGATGTCAAACACACATTTTGCGTTTCCAAAGTGTTACCATTTTCTGGCAAGTTGCCGTTTTTACGGCTAGAAGTAGAATTAGCTGCCTCTGATGTGAATTCTACCTTTCTCCTTTTGCTCCTCAATTGTCTTGTTTCTTCCTGGGATGACTTATTTTCTAGAGATGTATCTTTACTTTCTTTAAGAATCCTCTTTTGACCTCTATCTATGGGCAAGGCAAGCTTTTCCCTGAGAAAAGTGGAACTAGTTTCTTCAGATTTGGAAGAAATTGGGTTTTTTCTGCCCACTCTTGGTGGATTTTCTCTTGCAGACGGAGCCACTTCCAGAAGCACACTCTGTTTTTCTTCAGGAGTTTCAGTCTTACCATCTTCTGGCAAACCTTGAACTAATGTGGAACTAACAGCAAGCGAAGTGATTGTTTGCCTCAAGTTCCCTTTTGAAAGACCCATTTTTTCTTGGGAAGTAGATTTTTCCAAAATCAGCTTTTTTGCTTCCCTATAATTATTCTTTCTACCACTTTCTTTGGTTATGTCCTGTTTTTCCTGAATAGAAACAGAACTTGTGGCTTCTAACAAGAGGGCAATTTCCTTCTTTCTGCCTTTTCTCAGTTGATCTTTTTTTACAGATGAATCATAAGTTTCTAATGGAACTTTTAGATCTTTAGGAGCTTCTTCTCTACTGTTATCTGCTGGCAAACCGCGTTTTCCTCGAAGAGAAACGTAATTAGTTGTGTGTGATGTCAGAGCAGTTTCTTTCCTTCTGCCCCTTCCTAATGGCTTCTCTTTTGCACAGGACACTGTTTCCAAAGGCATGTTTTGTTTTTCATTAGTACCCTTCTCTTTATCATCAGTTTCTGACAAGTCACATTTTCTCTGGAGAGAAGATGAACTTTTTGCCTCTACTGCTAGATCAATCTTTTTCCTTTTGTCCCTTGCTGATGCATTTGCTTTTGCCTGCAAAGTTTTATTTCCCAAAGCTGGATTTTGATCTTCTCTCACAGTCATCTTTTTATCATCACCTTCTGTCAACCCGCGTCTTTTTCTGATAGAAACAGATCTAGAAGTTTGTGACGCTGCAGCAACCTCTCGTCTTCTCCCTCGTCTCCGTGGATTGTCTTCTGTTGAAGAGGGAGTAGCTTCCAAAGCTGAATCTTGCTCTTTTACAGAAGCTTCATCTTTACTATGATCTGCAATTAATGTTTGGTTTTCCATAAAGGTAGAACAAGCTATTTGTGGAACGGAATCAACTTGCTTTCTTCTGCTCCTCCTTACTTGTAAAGGATTTTTTGAAGTCTCACATCGACCATCTTTGTAAATCACACCCTCGTCATTCCCAGGTAAACTGCTTTTTCCTCCAACTGCTTTGGAGCTGACTTCAAGTTCAAAATTAGCTTTTCTACCTCTACCTCTTCTACATGCTGTTCCATTTTCTTGTGCTTGATTCTCTTGTGGGATTTCAGTTTGGTTGGGTTTCAGTATCCCCTGTTCATTTCTTGTCCGCTTTTGACGGCTATGAGCGAGACTGTCACTGTTTGCAGCAGGTATCGGTGTGGCAGCTGGGCTGTTCTGGTCCTTCATGACTTGGCATGTAATCTTGACACAAACAGAGCTCAAGGAATCTTTGAGAGAAGACTCACGCATTTCTGTTTCTGACTTAAATTTGGCAGTAATTAGTTCTAGGTTGTTTACATTTCTGGCAAATTCATCCGTCTTTTTCTCCAAAGAGTCTTCTCTGACTCTCCTTTTTCTGGTTCTGTTTGTTTCCTGTACTGCACTTCTGTTTGATTCCAAGTTCAGAGCAGGAGCTGGCATTTTGCTTGTCTCTCCAGAAGGTGACTCTGCCTTTAATCTTTGAGATGCCTCTGTTGTATTTGCCTGAGCATTTTCTGTTTCATCTCCCTGAGATACTTTAATCTCACTTTTGATGTGTGACTGTGTTTCAGTATCAGTTTCAGTTGAAGTTTCCTCTGTTCTCTGAGCATTTCGTATATTTTCAAGCGCCATCCCACAAATGTCTGCTTTTACTTCAGCTGAGTGCTTTCTAGCACTTCTTAAAGACTTAATTCTTTTCTCCATTACCTTTGTTTCAAGTTTAGTTCCATTTTCAGATTCTTCTGCTGTGGTAGTCTCAGAATCTTTGTCTTGTTCATCTCTTTCTATCATTTTTGCTGATGGGTCTTTACGAAGTTTCCTTGTTGTCCCATGAAGAACCTCTGAAGAAGCTTGTTTAACTTGGTCATTCCTAGCTCTTCTTGCTCTTTTTGGTGGAATCACTGGTTCTGTGTTTTCTACTCCTCTGGACCTCCTTCTAGGTGACAGAAGCATTTCTTCACTGTCATCTACACCACCTTGATCAGGCTTGTTTTCAGGTTTTTTTAAACCTGTTTGCAGTTGACAATTTTCATTTTGAATGCTACTACATACACTTACTGCCTTTATGGCTGGATCACCTTCAGTTTCTAATACGTCATTGATGCCATACTCTTGCAAAGTCTGTTTCGTATCTGCATGTTCTTCTCGTAGCACCAAAGAATCTCTGCCACAAGACTCAAGATTCTCACTTGGATGTTTTAACTCCTTCTGTTCTTTCCCTTTACCTCTTCCTGGTCTTTGAGTAGCTCCGTGTGGTTCCACAAATGAAACAACTTCAACTGTTTCCTGACCAGGATGCTTTGAAACAATTTCCTCTTGCATGCAACGGTTTACTCTCCTTCCTCTTCCTTTATTTTTAGCTACTGAAGCTGAAGTACTGATCTCTTCCATCTCCTCTTCGGTGCTCTTTTTTTCCACACGTTGCAATTCTTTTACATTCAAATCCTTTCCACACTGCTTTGCTGAAGAAGTATGTACTGTGTTCCTTGATCTGCCCCTTGTTGCTCTCTGGGTAGACTGGTCTTCACTAATCGATTCCTTCTGTTGAGAATCTTCACCTTGTGAAATATTTCCTTTATCTTCTAAAACAAAGGGTTTTTTTCCAAAAAAGTTTTTACATAGAAAAGAACACAAACAAAAATTATACATTACTATGCCCGATCAAAGTATCTGTGAATTTCAATTTTTCTGACAGAATCATCTGGTTCAAACAAATCACTCTTCATAGTCTTATTTTTAAAATAAATAAATAAATGTTTTAACCAATTCCTAGATTAAAGGCCAGGCTTCTGACCAAATATGTTTGGCTCATGTGGTAGATAGCATTCATAGGTTTAAGCTATGTTCTTGAAAGTCTTTGCAAAGGAAGATAATTTTCAGTGGAGACTTTAACATCAGATTTTTTTACACTGATATGATGTTTGGAGGTGCCAACATTACCACACCAACAAATTACTACACTATTACTTCTATACCAGTAGAATTCCAGTACCTGGTCTTCATTAGGGATGACTACACAAATTCCATGAGCTATGCATGCTTCGTACTGTATAATTTGGAATTTTAAAAACATCTTAAAACTTCATACTAACATATTACTTTGTATATTCTTTATGCCTCTAGTTAAAGTAATTGTACTTACCATATTTCTGACTGGAATTAGTACAAGGAGGTGCAGTATCTTGTTGCTTAGAATCCGAAACATTCACTGATCTGACCTAAGGGAATAAACAATAACCAATAAATGCATGTCTGACAGGACATGAAATAGTGGAGCCAACCAATACAAAATTAATGTATAGTAATAGTTGAAAAAAGTCTTGTCAAATACTTTTCTCTAAAAATAAAATCAACTCAGTTTTGTAACTGCATCCATATATTTGGTATTAGAACACAAATATATCAAACTTAATACTTGCCATCTGAGCTAGTGTAGCAGTTTTGAAGTGAAAGATAACAAACATTGCACAGAGTTAAAAGAAGTATTAATTAAATTGGCTGAAAAGTGTCTAAATGAGTGCTCGAAATCTGGGGTATTGAAGCTGAATTATTGGAGTGTTTTGTAGTGTTTTATTGTAGTTCTACACTGATGAGCCTTAAGCCCAGCCATCCTCAACATTTTACCTACAGGTCTGGGAATGAACATAAAAATCAATAAAAAAATCACAAATGATAAGAGTGATGAAGCTGTGAATTATAAGGTCAGAACGGTAACACAGAGCAACTTCAGTAACTTACTTAAGGTCCCTTCAATGAAAATACTTATTAACACAGGCAAATGCACAGTGAGAGAACTATCTCTAAAATAGGCATCCATTCAGGTAGCAATGAATTAAAGACTTATGGGCATACTGAGCAATCAGCTGATCACCCGGTACCATGTTTTGTCAAATGCTCAACACTTTTGGATGTGCAGAGAGCTTAAAATTTAATCTATAGGGTATGAAGCAGCTGTACAAAAAAAAACAAACAAACAAACACCCAGCCAACCATATGGCCTTGCCTATGAAAGGAAGGCTAAGAAAGAATTTGATTATAGTTTGTAAGCAATTTAAAGCGTGCTTTATACATAACAGGATCATATGACCAAAAAAAAAAAAAACCACAAGTGCTCAGATTCTAATTTTTCAAGTCTTCTAGCAGGGGGGCATTCACCTGGACAAAGCTATCAAGGAAAAAATATTGCCATCTTTACAGGTTACAAAACAACATGAGGTGTTTTTCTAGAAGGTATTATTTCCTCCAGATGTTATGGGCATGACATATTTGAAGTGCTGTAACATACAAGATGTCATACTAGGAGGCCTAAGAATTAATTTCAACCACAGCTTTCAGAGGCTAAATACATTTCTTATAAAAGCTAAAGAAAGTATTTTACCTTAATTTCCTCCGGTATATCAAACTTTTCTGTAACTTCAACGCAGTCCACTTCAAAATCAGAACATCTATTCTTGGGTTCTGCCATAAGACTTTGCAGACCCACAAAATCATCAACCGGTTGATACTTCTCTCTTGGAGTCTTCAATAATCTACTAATACCAAACATATCTTCTATGGGTTCAACTTTTTTCTTTGGTGTCTTGAAAATACGGCTGACCCCAATCATGTCTTCTACCGGTTGATACTTCAGCTTTGGAGTTTTCTTGATTAATGTAACACTTGACACATCTTTTACTGCTTCCCCTTCTTGCACTGGTGTCTTCAGCAATCTTTTAAAGCCAATTTCATCTGTAACAGGTTCCAACTCTTGCTGTGGGGTCTTCATGAGCTGCTTGATGCCCGACAGGACCTCAACTGGTTCTGGCTTCTGCTTTGGGGTCCTCATGAGCTGCTTGATGCCCGACAGGACCTCAACTGGCTCTGGCTTCTGCTTTGGGGTCCTCATGAGCTGCTTGATGCCTGACAGGACCTCAACTGGCTCTGGCTTCTGCTTTGGGGTCCTCATGAGCTGCTTGATGCCTGACAGGACCTCAACTGGCTCTGGCTTCTGTTTTGGGGTCCTCATGAGCTGCTTGATACCTGACAGGACCTCAACTGGCTCTGGCTTCTGTTTTGGGGTCCTCATGAGCTGCTTGATGCCTGACAGGACCTCAACTGGCTCTGGCTTCTGTTTTGGGGTCCTCATGAGCTGCTTGATGCCTGACAGGACCTCAACTGGCTCTGGCTTGTGCTTTGGAGTCTTCATGAGCTGCTTGATTCCTGACAGGACCTCAACTGGCTCTGGCTTCTGCTTTGGGGTCTTCATGAGCTGCTTGATGCCTGACAGGACCTCAACTGGCTCTGGCTTCTGCTTTGGGGTCTTCATGAGCTGCTTGATGCCTGACAGGACCTCAACTGGCTCTGGCTTCTGCTTTGGAGTCTTCATGAGCTGCTTGATGACTGACAGAACCTCAACTGGCTCTGGCTTCTGCTTTGGGGTCTTCATGAGCTGCTTGATGTCTGACAGGACCTCATCTGGCTCCAGCTTCTGCTTTGGAGTCTTCATGAGCTGTTTAATGCCAGATAAGACCTCAACTGGCTCTGGCTTCTGCTTTGGAGTCTTCATGAGCTGCTTAATGCCTGACAGAACCTCAACTGGCTCCGGCTTCTGCTTTGGAGTCTTTATGAGCTGCTTGATGCCTGACAGGACCTCAACTGGCTCCGGCTTCTGCTTTGGGGTCCTCATGAGCTGCTTGATGCCCGACAGGACCTCAACTGGCTCCTGCTTCTGCTTTGGAGTCCTCCTTTTACTTCCTGATTTCAGTCGAGATGCTTGTTTTCCTGGAATTATTGACAAACTATCCACACTAATATTTTCTTCCAGCATAGCTTTTCTTTTCTCAGGAGTTTTTGTGGATACTGTATCAAACATAGACTTTAGAGACTCCTCTCTCAGAAGGTGACAAATGCCTGGACTATCTTGTTTCTGTTCTGAAGCATCTGAACTATTTAATGGTGACACCATCATCTCTCCTGAAAGAAGTAGTAGATTTATGTAATTTGGAAAAAAAATAAGCAGAAAATCCAGGCATTCTAATTGCTATATAACTAAGTGAAATGGATTAAAACAGCCAGACCCTTCTGCAAGCCCAAATCCAACAATATGCATCAACAATTGATTTGGTAATTAGTTTCTACACAGCACAGCATATTTAAAAAACAGACTATAAAAAATTATTTAATACGATATAAAATTTAATGTTTTCTATTGTGCCTAAAATTTCTAGTGGTACAAGTTTTTTATTGAAATTTCCTTTGTGTTTTGAAGCAATACCAGGCATAAATCAGAGGTTTGCACATTAAAGATCACACATTTGACACTTCCAACACCAAGGAAGAAAAAAATGACAAGAGATATTTATAAAACTTTTGTCATAGAATATCTCATGTTGGAAGGGACCCATGAGGACCACTGAGTCCAAATGCCTGCTCCTCACAGGACTACCTAAAACTAAACCTTATGACTAAGAGTTGTCCAGATGCTCCGTGAACTCTGACAGGCTTGGTGCCGTAACCACTTCCCTGGGTATCCTGTTCCAAGTGACCAACCACCCTCTCAGTGAAGAACCTTTCGTTAATATCTAACCTGAGCTTCCCCTGATGCAGCTTCATTCCATTTCCTCATGTCCCATCACTGGTCACCAGAGGTATCAGCACCTCTACCTCCACTGCTCCCCCTGAGGAAGGGCTGTGATGAGAGTAGCTCCCCCTCAGCCTTCTCCTCTCCAAGCTGAACAAGCCAAGTGACCTCAGCTGCTCCCTGGAAGTCGTGCCCTCGAGGCTTTTCACTATCTTGGTCACCGTCCTCTGGACACACTCTAATAGTTTGTTGTCTTTCTTATGGTGAGGTGCCCGAAACTGTACTCAGTACTCCAGGTGGGGCTGCAGTGGGACAATCACCTCCCTTGACTGGCTAGCTGTGCTGTGCTTGATGCACCCCAGGACACAGTTGGCCTTTTTGGCTCCCAGGCCATGCTGTTGACTCATATTCAACTTGCTAACAATCCAAACCCCCAGATCTCTTTCTGCAGGGCTGCTCTCCAGCTTCTCGTCCCCCAGTTTGTATGTATAATCATGATTACCTCATCTTAGGTGGAGAATCCAGCACTTGCTCTCATTAAACTTCATGCATTTGGTGATTGCTCAGCCCTCCCATCTATCAAGATTTCTCTGTAAAGCCTCTCTAACCCAGAGGGAGTCCACAGCTCCTCCTAGTTCAGTGTCATCAACAAAATGTCTGGGTCCAGATAAAATAGTTTTTTCATTGAAACACTGAAGAGCACAGACCCTAAAATTGAGCCCTGGGGGACCCCCCTGGTGACTGGCCACCAGCCTGATGTAACCCCATTTACTATAATTCTTTGAGCCCAACCCATCAGCCAATTGCTCACCCAATATATTATGGGCTTGCCTAGCCATGTGTTGGACATTTTATCCAGAAGGATACTGTGAGAGACAGTATCAAAAGCTTTACTAAAATACATCTACTGGCTTCCTTTGTTTAATTACATGGGTGACCTTGTCATAAAAGGAAATTAAATTGGTTAAGCAGGACTTTCCCCTCATGAACTTGTGCTAGCTATGACCAATGATTCTGTTGTGTCACAAGTGTTTTTCAGTAACTCTGAGTAACCTTCTCCATAATTTTACCAGGCACTGAAGTGAGACTGAGATGCCTGTAATTATCAGGGTCTTCCTTCTTATCTATCTTGAAAATTGGGGCGTTTGTTAGCTTCCAGTTGACTGTCACCTCTCCCAAGACCATTGAAAAATAACAGAAAGGTCTTGCAATATCATTGGCCAGCTACCACTGTGTTTGCACGTGACCTGTACTTGAAAAGACACTTTTCACACCTATTCATTAGGGTCGCTGCAGAGGCACTGACTTTTTGAGTTCTTGGATTCTTTTGCACCCTGGTCATTATGCACAGCAGAAAAGGATAATCAAGAGGATTAAGGCAGTGCCATGCTTCAACATTTTGAAGTTTTATACTGAGTAGAACGAATAAGAAAATAAACCTACTCAAAAATTAACTGGAACTACAAAAATGTCTTTTAATACATCATAAAAATCAACGGTTCCTTTTACAGGTTGCCAGATGCTTTATCTCAATATGTCAAATCTGTCTAGGCTGAGACTACTTGCTGTCTCAAGCAGCAGACACACCACTACACTGTTACCCCCTAAACATTTACTTTCTTTTCAAACAACAAACATACCGGACTCCTCAGGAGTGTGCAATTCAGAAATTTCCACTGCAGTACACGGCGGTGTAAAATCAGTCATCTGAACAGAGGTCAAAGGTAATGTTTTTCCGCTCTTATTTTCTGGAGTTTGAAACATTTCAGTCATTCCTATAAATTACATTCAAAGAAATGAACATATATGCTTTGACAGAAGCACTACGCAGTTGGCAAAGCAAGCAACAAACTTTAGAAGAACTTACCCGTGAAGCTTTCGTCCATATTCCTGTTTAAGTTCACGATGGGATTTTTTACCACTTTAGGGACCTGTCCAGCTGTTCTGACCGTGGTAGAATAAGCTTTACCTACAACTATTGTAGCAGGTGACTCTGCATGACCTGTACTAAAATGACCTTTTATTTTTCTTTCTGGAGTCTGCAGAGGTGACAGAAGGAAAAAAAAAAAAGTCAGTAAACAAAGACACCTTTTATACAAAATCTACTTTTTTTTATATGCTGTAACAAAGACATCAACAGCTATTTAACATCATACTAAAAGGTCATAAAATTCCAGCTTCTATAGCAAAATGCCTACAAGCTGTTTTGTGGTTATGCAACAACAAAAAGAAAAATAATACCTTTGGTGATCGGGTTGTCTTCTTCACAGAGTTTCCTTTTCGGACACTTTTTTTAACAGTCTTTGACTGTGGTCTTACAACACCTAATTTTACCACTTCTGCCCAAGATTTTGCAACTAGAAAGCAAAAGAGAAACACACAGCTGAGAATTAAAGTGGTTAAGTAGAAGGTCACAATCATTTCTTTATGATTCCAATGCATTTGCTGCAGTGGGGCACAGGAAACTATAATAAAGTGCTCTGTGAAACGCTTTCAATTGGAAGACCCAATTTCAGCTGAAGTTTAACAAGTGTCCGATTACCCAGTATGGCTATGTCCACAACAAAACAACAACAAAAAGCTTCATATAGTGTCAAATAGATGTTAAATCCTAGAACTGAAAGCTAACCCAGTTCCTTCCTTACTATTTTTGTAAGGAAATAATTTTTTCCAGTAAGAACCTGCCATGAGCCTTTCCATCTCGTTCATTATTATACCTGAACTTTTCCCTGGTGGGACTTAACATCAGAGAAATGGCTTCTAAGTGAAACATATCCACCTTTTCTTTCACCACCTTCCCAAGGAATTTCATAGTCAGAAAATTACTTATTTATATTACTTAGAGCATTTAGAGCTACAGACATTCCATAATTTTTTTCTTGCATCACCTTCTCCTTATAACATACTCTGATAACTCCCAAAGCAAAGTTGCCTTTATCACAGCATCATTCAGTACACAGCATAGGAATTAGGGAATTACTTACAGCTGTGTAATAAACAAATCTGTAATTTGGTAGGACATCTGCCTCGTTTACTTCAGAAATAGACTATGAGGAGACAGTGATCTTATAAAAGAAATGGTATTTTATTTTAAAGTACAGATAAAAACAGGAATGCGATTACTGAAGACAAGGATATTCTCCTGTCAGAATTGCTGTGCGAGTTAGGGAAAGTCTGTAAATAAAAAACTTTCAAAAGCTGTCATTGTTAAGGTGTTCCCAGTATGTAGAAAAATGCCAATCGTGCAAGAAATTATCTGAAAAAGGATTGGAAACAAAGTTTTATTTTGGATACAAAGTAGACATCCAGAATTTAAGAACTGTGGCATTCTTCTCATATTACAGAAGAAACTGATGCACCAATATTAAAAAACACTTATGCATCACAGAAAGGTGGTGAAAAATGGTGTCATTAATATTTGTGAAGTACTCTGCCACTGTTGAATGAAACACCAATGCCTCATGATTTATTTCACTAGAAGACTAACACCACATTCAGCTGCACTAACCAGAAGTATCGTGAAAGCCTGTGATTTTACCTTATCGTGTAATAATAATGATGAGAGCATCACTGGGACATGTATGTAGTACACTGTTCAAAACTTTAAACTTTAAAATGACACTACAATAAACGGAGATACTAAAGAGTAATCAAAATTCCTGGATGAATAGTGGTGTTGGTGGGAAGATTTAAATTTTACTTTGAAAGAGTCAAATTGATTTAATTTATGAAAGAGATGACAAAGAGATATTTTAAAGTTTCTTCAAAGATAAAATTTCAAGAACCAGAGGTCCCCTATCATAATGTTTCCAGTGCTGCCAAAACTATTCCAAGCCAGTGTTCAACATTCAAATGTTCAGCCTCAAAATATTCAAATTAACACCCAGTTATTTTTTAATTCTATCTGTTATATATCACTGTCAACAGTCAAGCGCAGTCCAGTCCATGGACAAAGGTTGTGAACTGTCTATAAAAGAACAGCACAAAGAAAACAAACTGAAGCTAGATTGCTACAAAGGGCACGTTTCCACATCAAAACTGATGTAAACGATACAATTTTATTTAGTTCAATACTACTTGAACTTCAAGGACTTGAAGGATCGCTGTTGCAACTAACCTTGCAAGGAGAACCTTACTTCTACCATTGTTCAACTTTATAACATTAAAATGTGTTCTAAATATGGTTTTATATATGCCTTAGTAGTTTGCTTTATGAATGTGAGATTATAACAGCTTGCAATTCCCAGCTGTTTCCAGCAAGCCCAACAACTGTCAGGAGATATGCCAACCATTTGGTGGTGTCTGCACAGCAAAACAATAGGCCTACTTCAGTTTCGTTCCTGTATTTTAAAGGATTAAAATTAATATTAAGAATTAACTGAAACAAACCTAGTAAATTGGCACTGGAGGCACCGCTTCTTCTTTTCGCATTGATAAGTGCTACAGCCCCACTTCTCTTCATGGGTGTGACCTTCAAAGCAGGTTGTGCACTTGTTAATTTGTCAGGTATAGCTGTTAAAAGGGTTTTACCATCTTGGTTAACGTGAGAAGATGTAGGTGTTTTCACTCTGGCATTTTTCTCCTTCGTATTCATGTCTTCTGCAGCAGCATCCTTCCCTTCTGCAATTGGTGATGGTGTTGTGATGTGAGAGACAGAGAAACGTCCCTTTGTGTAAGGCGCTGGAGAGCCTGAAGTAAGTTTAGGTCTTGCTGTCCCAGAGGCAGGGGGTGAGGCAGCTGGAGACTTCTGGACCAACAAACGTTTCGGTGAAATTTTTTCTTTCTGCGGAGGTTCTGAAAGTTCCTGGTAGAAAAAAAGATACATAAAGATAAAATGATACTGCACATAGAGGAACTACAAATGCTCATCTACACCCCTGGCAAGTAAATGCAATAGTATAAAATATAATCAGAGCATCTGAAAAAGCCTTGAAAGTTATCATCTGAAAACAAAACTGGTAACCAGTTTTAAATTTCAGAACAGTCTCATAAGACACATGCAAATTCAATTGAATAAAAGAATTAACATTTATAATTCTACTTTATTGGAAAATTTTGTTCATATCAAGTACAATAGACACATTTTAACTAGTTTCAATCAACGGCAAATGTTTTCAAACTTCTAGCCAAACCACGTGGCAGTAGCTTGCACTCTGCCAAACTACTGTTCTGTTCTCTGTTATTTATGGTGAACTGGAGTTTGTAGCCACTGCTACTAAGCACAAACATACAGAAATATGCTCCTGCGTAGGAATGAGAATGAGCAATAACGTGTGAGGTGAATAAAAACACACCTCCTGTATAAAGACAGGTAGGTAGACAGAAAGGCTGAGTTAAGCCCTTTCTCGCAGTGGAGAAGTTAAAAAAAAAACATTTTATTTTGCAATTAAAATTTCCACTTCCTAACATACATTGAACAAGGTTTGCTACTAATTTTTAGAAGTCTTAGAATTTATAAATTCTGTTCACATTAATTATCTTAGCAACTTGATTAGTCTCAACATTTACCTGGACTGCAAAGTGCTCCAATCCCCGAGCCTTTTTCAGAACGGCTCGTGGCGAGTTTCCAGACGGTAAGCTCAGTCTGGCAGGAATTGCACCTCTTTTAACGGGCGAGTTGGGAGGCAAACTTTTATCAAAAAGTTCTGGACTTAGATGACCACCAAAAGACACTCTCTTTCTTTTTCCTAAAGGCTGAAGTAACAAATCACCACCTTTCCTCTTCTGAGATACCCTTTTTGTCTTGCCTGAAAATAACAATTGAAAATATTTCTAAGAATCCAAGTCAACATTTTAACCAGCATAGAAAACGGTGCTTGCTCATGCATTTTAAAGTCGGAAACATATCAGAAGAGATAAATAGATTCAACTGAGTAAACGTCTATACATATTATTGTACATTTTCATGGTCAACTATCACTACATGATAAATATTTTAGAACTACTATGTTTAGGACTTCTATGTTTTATGTAACTGGAAAAATTCTCCTAACACTATGAGAATTTCTCAAATAGAAAAATGACAAGACTGGGGATTAAACTTATTTACCTGATTCTTCTCCAGCCAACAGGCCAGAAACACTCATTTCTGAGACAGTCTCACTGTCATTCAGTACAGTAGCACTTCCAGAAGACCTTCTCTTGGATGACAGTCTACAAGGCCTTTGAAGACTGGCATCTTCCAAATCTTGTTTCTGATGTTCCTTCGTGGCCAGCTCTTCTTTAGCTCCATTGTCTTGTCTGTCTGTATCGGGATGTTGTTGGACAGCATTTGTCTCCGGTGCTTTCTCAGTTAGCAGACCAGAGGTCCTTGGCCTACCCCTTTGTCTTCTGGAGCCAGATTTCTGACTAGCAGGAGATGCCAGTTCTGATGTTAACTCTTCTGAAGCCAGTGTCTCTGAATGGACACTTTTGTTCAATAATTCTTTACTTCGCCTGTTATTTCTTCTGGGACTCTTGGAACTGGAAAGAAAGGGAGGAGTTTCAGAATGTTCCTCTTTTGAGTTAACAAAGTTTGCCTGATCACAAATTTCTTTCAGCACTTCTTCGTTTACAAGTTTTCCTGGTGTAAGTTGTTTACTATTTCGTCTTTGTTTTAAGCATTTATTTTCTGCCAAAGGCAGTTCTTTGAGGCTATCAATTCTGCATATTGAATCTTCCCTTTGAGTTTCAGCTGAAATTTCTGTAGAAAACTTTTGTTTCAAAGACACACGTCGTTGAGCTGTTGGAGTACCAATATTTACAGGATTCACTCTGCTATTTTTTTTGGTAGGTGTTATGAAATGAGACCGAGGACTCTTCCTTCTGGATGTTGGTGTAGACAGAACGTATTTATCTACTTCAGAAATGTTTGTTGTGTGAGTTGTTTGTGCTGTTTTTTTTGCCTCTATTGCAAAGCTGTATCTTTTCATTCTATCTCCATAATCCAGGCATTCTATAGAGCATGGCTGCAATGCTGAATTTCCATAATTCTCCATACTGGATTCAGTTGTAACTTCAATACCTTTAGATTTGCCTTCTGTACTTAGTTCCTCGGGATCCTGCAAGTGACTGCTTTTACCAGTATCTCTTGATATCTCCTTTGAAACAGAAGTTCGAGGACTTCTGGCAAAACTCTTCTTGGTAGCACTTCCTAGAGCTGAGATCTGGTTAAATTCTGAACCAATTACTTCTTGCTTTATTTTACTTTCTTCAGTAATTTCACTTCTGCCTAGTTCTTTTTTATTCAGGCTTCTCAGACCATCAGCACAACTTGATGATGAAATTCTCTTACCATCTTTTGTAGCTTGTTGACATACATTTCCCTCTTGCAGAGATTTTTTCATGTTAATCTCATGTTTCAGGTTTTCATAGAGTTTGGTAAAGGGAGACATTTGACTTTGCCTTTTACTAGACTGATGCATTCTGTGTGAAAATTTGGGTGTTTGTAGTTTGACAGGTAAAGCTTCCGAAATTTTTTCCTCTGTACTTTGTTTATTTCCATTGGCATTTTTTATTTCGCAATCAGCATTATCTACAAGGTAAGCAAAGCAAAAAGTAATGCAGATGCAGAATTACTTAAAAACTGCAGAACTACAAACATGAGTTCTATAAATTCAGATAAAAATTCCTTCCTCTCCTCTCCCAAGACAGTCAACCAAGGTAGAGTACTGTAAATAAAGCTCTGTTTAACAATACTATTTTTTCTCACAATAGAAGCAGTAGTACATAAAAGTTTAACGTTGATTTTAAATTGCAATCTGGAATTTATCCCATATTCAGGTAAGGCACTTGGTATTTCACACTTCTGTTTTTCTTTGGAATCGATGGCTCATATACATCTTTCAGGGCTGCCACAAGACAAATCTGTTTGCACAGAATCAAACAACCACTTGGATCAGCTCACCACAATCCAGTGTGATGTGTCCTGCATTTACATGGGTGCCATACTGCCTGAACTGTGGCAACGCTTCTTTAGGGCAAAGCCAGGCCAGAAAGCAGAGCTGCTGCGTCCCAGGTGAGACACAGCAGGTGACTGCACGTGTGCTGCCATTCCACTGCAATCTGTAAACTGCATCCGAGGAAGTCTGAGGTAGCACCCTTCATTTTGCATTTCCCATGAGCAAGGGGGCTATGCAAAGCTAACAGAGTCCGACCTGGTAAGAGGTGCCTTTTTTAAGCCACAAGAAGCTGAGGCCTCGTGTACATCTATACATCTACAAGGTCTGTTTCTCAACACCACTTTATGTCAGTGTGAACACCTGCCAGAACAAATGCTGATACATGTTCAGTTTTCTTAATTGTGATGGGAAATAATCCATGTAAAGATGAAGATAGAAACCCTGAAAAACAAGGGAAATCCTGTCAATTATCTTCTGGGAAAAGGAGTGAGCGGGGAGAAGAGAGACAGGGAAGAACAGGAAAGGAGATCTTCCTATGAAAGCTTTTACCTAATTGCAGACAAGTACATCAGCATTTTTTTTCCTCAGTTGACAAGTTTTTCCCTTAAAGTTGATAGAACAATGAAGCAAAGGCTGTTGTATTGTAGGACAGAGTTGGGGAACTTATTACTCAATCTTGTGAATACAGATGCGCTAACAACCCCCTGAAATGGCACACTTTGAAGCAGCCTGGGTTTTTTGCACTGGAACGAACATTTGTCAGAAAAATCAAATCTGTCCATATATAAATAGCTTCCATCTAAAAAACCTTCTATCTTCCAATGGAAACTAGCATTACTTAAGACAAGAAGGATGGGAAGGTGAAGTCCTGGCATTTAACAAGTCCATGATCTATAACTATCCAGACTTAGTAGCTCTTGAAGATGTTTTCCTGGCTCTATGTGAAACCGTTATTGTAAGCAAATATTTCAATCAGCAGAATTAACCCTGCCTATATATCTCAAAAATTACAGCTGTTTCAGTTTCTTCTTAGGAAAGTGTACATGAAATAATGCAATATTCGATTCAAAACAAACTAATTAGTACTAATGAGGAAAGATGTATTCTATATCAGCAGAGAACTGCAAGTTAATCACAAAGGTGAATTTGCCATGTTGTACTTATTTGATGCTGCTGAAAAAATAAAATGTTATAGGCAATTGTTTCACGTATCAGTTTCAACTGGCATTTGTATTGTAATGCAAATAGAAAAATTCAGGGTGTACTGATCTCCCTTCTTAGCTATAATCTTCATAGACTGAATTTGCACGAATCACTTAAAGCAATGTGAACTTTGTCAATTCCAGGTTAGCGGTTACTGCCCGTTTGTCAGGCTGCAATTCAACTGATTTCTTATGGCAAGACTTAGCTTTGGTAAAACACAGCACAAGTATCCCGAGATAGTACACTGACTTAGCAAGGTGTACTGTATTCAGATTAAAAAGTCTTAAAATACATTTTCTTTGTTCTTTGCAGCCTTGTTTTTCCTCTTATGCCAAGAAAAAATGCAGTTAAGGGGGAAGAAGAAAACAAAGCCCTCATCAACCAGGTACCAACCTGAAGCATGAAGACTTTTAGATCCTGAAGTTTGTTGGTGTGGTAATTTCACTTCTGCCACCTGCTGAACATGAAGAACCTGTAAATTTGTACAATATTACAGCAGAGCAACAAACATTTTACAGTTTAGCTTTCACCTGTACATTGAAAAACACTATTATTTACAGAGGTATATGCACTGTTTACTAAACAGGCTTAAAAGTATCCAAATGAAATCCTACAATATTTCAAAACTTGAGAACATTAACCAATACACATTTAAGGCCTTCTATAATATGAGTTTAGATCTTGTCTTATTATTATCAGCTCTAAAAGCAGGTGTAGCATAATACAAATAAGCACATTTGAATCTCACCTTCTTACCAGACCTACTGGGAAAATTTTTATTTAAAAAAGAACTATAACATTGAAAAAGAAAAAAAGTCTTTCAATAGCCACAGTACTCACAAACTAACACTATCCCCCTGAGGGGATAAAACTATACTGAAGAAAAGAAACTAATGAAAAGAAATTATTACAAGATAGTCTTAGTTTGGTATTTATAAATTCCAACAATACGTTAGTGTACTAGCACATAAGACACCAGATTATTTTTGAAAAGAAAGGAATGCTGATGCTCTAGGGCAAACTTCCCCATCTAAGGTACAAGGATATCTAAGGCCCGTACTCTGCATTTCCTCCATCCCATCCTCTCTTTGAAAAAGCTAAGGATTAATTTTTGATAGCTTACCTGTACTGGTAACACCATAGATTATTAAGTATCTACTATCCGAAATCGACAAGTCTCAAATTAATAAATTATCATTTTTTTAAAAAGCATTTATCTGAAGGAGCTTATTTGTATTTTCAAACAGAAAGTTAGTCTACAGCTGAGAAATTATTCCTAATAAGAAAACAGAACAGCGTATCATTACTAATACCAAAGTACTTGTAGTAAATAAGCCTATGCCCACAAAATTACCTGCAGTGTTTCATCTTTTGGAGATCTAGAACGCTTCTTTCTTGGAGTTGACTGGAGAGGATATTCAAATCTGGAAGAAATATTTAAAGAGACAACAATTTTTTTGTCAAACAGCTGATGTCTAAATCCCTATTATTAAGATAAATGACCTAGCAATAGTTGTCCACTCCCAACAATACACACATATCGGTTTGTAAGGCTCTAACTACATCAAACTAGTTCTAAATTTTCCCCTAAAAATGACTATCCTTGAAACAAAATCAAAATGATCTCTCTAGACAATTCTCTTTATTGGTTTATCTTAACGTAATATAAAAGTGATAAAAAAAAAAATCTTGAAGCAATCTTGCTTTCTGAAGGATCTATAAGACAGTGTAAGGAAATAAACAAGATTAACTTCCATTTCTGAAGATGGTAAAAGGACATTTTAATTTTTCCCATTTATCTACAGCCATCTTCTGTATCTTCATCCAGCTGTAGATCCTGCATCCACAAGGCTCTCTGCATTGTTTGTCTGCACAACACATTCTAAAATCGAGGCATTAATAGTCTGTCACTGGTACTTACCTGAAAGAACGATCAATAATAGTTAACACATCTCCATGCTTCAAAGGAACAGGTTGCTGAAAACAACCACCATTCAGCTGCGTAGGATTTACTGTACTTAAATTAGTCAATACAGCCTAAAAATAAAACAAACATTTAAGTAGCCTGATGAGATGCAACAATGCAATTCATACGTCATTAAAATATGTATATCTCACCTCCTTGTTTTCATTTACTTCAATTTTACAATGTTCTTTTGAGACCTGGGGCAACTGGATGCGAATATCACATTCTGTTCTCCTGTGGGTGAAAATACAATTTGAGTTTCAAGACACACAGAAGGCAGAAAAATCTGACTGTTATAGAATTAGGTGAGTTCCCAACTTTTCAGCTAATATTTGTACAGCACCGTATTTTCTTAAATTTGGTAGCATGAAGAAAATGAACTACCTAAGTCAACTGTGGCGAAAAAATAACAGGAGCTCATGCTTCTACAATATCAGAGGATCCATATCAGAAACAAAATGTGTGAAATACCCAAATTCTGAAAAAAAATCAGTTCACAAGCCAAAAGAGACATGTCTACAACAGACATCTGGTGATTTAACATTCCTTGTTCACTGACTTGTCAGTTGCTGAAGACTTGCAGAATATTTTTAGAAAATACCAGCATGCACTCTGAAGGCATTCATTACTGATCACTCTCAGAGACAGAATATTAGGTAGATGGACCTTCGCTCCCACCTGAACAGCCAATTCTGTCTTCTGAAAACACGTTAGTATGTGAAAGCTGTGTTTTTAAGAGTACAGACTTTTTCTTTCCTTTTTATTAAGCTAATCTCTAAAGCTTTTGATAAGCTGTAGGTCTCAGACAGCAAACATAGCAGCTATCACACCAGAAGTACTGTTCACAGAAGTACCTGACACCTCTGATGCAGATGACAGAAATTAATGTTTGTACCATTAAATATCAGCTGTCTGGGCAGCTCTACTGAGGCCAAAGAACAGTATTACTGACGGTGGAATGCTTCCCATAGACTTGCACTATGGAATTTAATTCCAGACTGAGTAACTAGTTAGTTAAGTTATCCATCAGTCAGTAAAATGCTGACCAGACCTAGTTTAAGTGAAGTAAAAATATTTTATCTAAACCCTATTTATAGTAAGATAATCTAGTTAAGTCTTTACACATACTGTTCAGACATATTAATTTTATCTTTATATTAAAATAGCTGGATCAAGCTCAAACCCCACTATTGCTCAACTGTAGAAGTCCAAGTGAGTTTCAAGACTGGAGGAGGTATAAGTTCTTATTAATTTTTAATTTAATTTAATGAAGATGGTCAAATATAAGCCATGTAACCCGCTTCTCTCCACTAGTCAATTATCTGGAAACTGCCTCAGGATAAGAGAATACCATCACCTGCTCATCAACTGTGTATTACTTTTAATCCCTTCCCCAAACTTCCTTTAGCCAGAAACTAAAAAAAAAAAAAAAAAAAAAACAAAAAAAAAAACAACAAACCCACCCACAAAACAAAAAAAACACTAAACCCAAATGAGTAGTTCTAGCAAGGAAAGGACAAAAAGCAGCAATAAAAATTAAGTTTGGCTTTAAAGTCTTACAATTAACGTTAGTCCAAGATCACCTTCCCTCCCCTGTACATCATTCAAATAAACAAACATTTGTTTTTGCAAGTATTAGAAGATATAATCTGCAGCAAAGATATCACTAATATCATTTCCACTTATCTAAGTACTCAACTCTCACCTTCCAAATAAACAAGAACTTGCAGTGAGTGGAAAACTAATCCCATCAGTCCCATTCCGCTTAATTACAACAATATTCCCAAAGAGAGGCATCTTCAAATGTAAGGAATCTTACCTATAAAAGAACATCAAAATTACTCATCCAAGTAATGCTTTATATATTTATGAAAGCAATTCAATGTAATTTTTTTTTTAGTTCTGTTAAAGAGACATTTTCCAACGTACAGCAGAAGTGCCATTCACATGTGCTTGCCTGTGTAGAAAACTGGGAACTAATTACTGTGAGCAAACACTGTAATAATACACGGGAAATTCTCCGTATTTGGCGAAACTAATGCTTGTACAAGGTGGCAAGAGCAGTCATCACATGCTCATGTAAACCCGGTTATACTACTTTCACATATGCAATAGGTATTTACTACCCATCGGAGCCTTTGTAAAGATTCAGGGGCAACACATATTGTATCTCCTGCCATAGGCAAATAAAATCTATTTTCATGTAAACAAGTCACTCCTCCTCACCTAAGTTTAAGTATTACATATTCTCTTACTTACATGGAAATTCTCAGACTTGATTTTAAAGTAAACGGAGACCAACTGACTGGAGCTGTATGGGGGAAAGGGTGACATCCCCACGAAGGAGCAGAGGCAGGATGATTACTGCACAGGCTGCGGTTTGGGGGCTGCCAGGATCCCCTGGTAGGCTACTGACACAGCCGCAGGTGGCAAGTGGCCACACAGACAGCAGAAAAAGGAACTACGTTTGCAAAACAAAACAAAACAAAACAAAAATAAAAACAAACAACAACAACAAAAAAAAAAAAAAAAAAAAAAAAAACCAACACCAAAACACAACCCCCAAACCCACCGCGTTTGCACCACCGGATACGTTATTCCTTTCATAAACGCGTGCCACGAAGGACAACCCAAAAAAAGCACGTATAAAACGCACTATCGCATATTATACACTTAAAAGTGTCAAGCTAAAAACAAGGGACCTAATGTAGTTAAGAGCGATCCTTGTTAACTTTTTTTGACGAGTTTCACGTGATAAAACGGTCGAAGAAACATAACGCACCCTAGGCCAAGTCTGACAGTGCCCTTCAGGTAAAGCCTTTACCTGCACGTTACAGGAACCGGCAGCCTTCCGTTCTCCTTACCCAAAGCGCCCCGTTCACAGCTCCCGCCAACTCCTACGAGCGAAAACCGCCAGACGAGCCGCTGAAGCCGGAGCCGCCGCCGCCGTTACGAACTCCGGTCCGTGAGGGGGGGGGGGGGGGGGGGGGGGGGGGGGGGGGGGGGGGGGGCAGCCAGGCCGCACTCCTCCACACGGCGCCGGGAGCCTCAACGCCGCCTGTCCCGTGTTCCCGTGCCCCCCTCCCGCCCCTCCGGGGACGCTCTCGTCCTTCGCACGGAGCCGCGCTCGCCCCGCAGCCCCGACAGGCCGGTGATGGCGGGAAGGCACTGCCTGCCTCCCCTCCCGCCACACACACACCCCCCCCCGCCCTCCTCTTCCTCCCCTCAGGACGCGGCGCCGCCTGAGCCTTCCCGCGCGCGCCAGCCTTCCCGCTCCCCGTCAGCCTTCCCGCTCCCCGTCACCCCGGTACCCGCGGGATGTATCCCTACGCCGCGCACGGAGCAGAGCACCGGAGCCGTGGTTGGGGCGGGGGGTACTCACCGGCACCGCGGCCGCTCTCTCTGACTAACAGCGCCCATGGCTGGCGGGACGCGCCGGGTCCGCCCGGCTGCGGGAGGCGCCTTTCGGCGGTCGGACTTTTTTTAACGCAACCCACCGAGCGGCTAGGCGGAAGGAGAAAAAGCGCTTCGCTGAGCTGACGAGTGTAAGGGGGGGGGGGGGGGGGCGGCGGTTGTTTTTCGAAAAGGCGCGCGGCAGCCTTCGATTGGCTGGGAGAGGCGGGGCGGCGGGGGTCACGTGGCCGCGCGGCGCAGCCAATGGGAAGCGCGGAGGCGGTTTGGTTTCAAATGGCGGCGCGGAGCCGTTCCCCGCCTCAGGCGGCTCCGCCCGCCCCCGGCCCCGCCTCAAAGCGGATTATAAACCGATTAACCGCCCCCCCCCCCCAGCTACTGGGTGCGGGGTCCGCACCCTGAGGGGCTTCTCAGCAGCTCTGTGAGGGATGGGGGCTCGCTAGGGGACCCGGTTGGGCCCCAAACGTGAGCCTCCTTAGCTACTGATGTTGCTTGAGCCTTAGGAGAACCCAGGTCGGTAAAAAAAAAGTCTGGAATCAGTATCCAGTGCTTCAGTTTAGGCTTTCTAAACTAATTTAAGCAACTGTATCTTAAATCTACACTGGCCTTCTGATAATTAGATTAAAATATTCTTAAGGGGAGTGAAAAAAAATAATGCAGTAAGGATGGGAGGGAGAAAGCAGCAGTAAAAAACTAACTGGCACTTTAAATCTATTTTGATAAGCCATTTAATTACCTTCTTTTATCTACAAAAACTGATTCCCATTTCAGCTTCCCCATGAATCCATTACTAAAACCTCAATCTGAGAATCTATAACACAAACAATCAGAAATTAAGACAAGCGCTGTTTGTGCTGCTCTGTAGTTTGAAGAGAGAAGGAAAAACCAAAACACACTGGGAAGTAACCAGAATTTAGTTCAGTCACCCAAAGGTAGAAAGAGTTATTCCTAGACAAATGTGTTATCGTTGCTTCCCCAGCTTTGATCAGGCTTATATTTTTGATGTTGCAATCATATGTTTGTATAAATTTAAGAATTAATCTCTAACCAATGAGATAAACTACTGGCATTAAAAATGAGAAGAAGCCACAACTTGAAAATAGACAATGAGAGGATGGTACCTTTGAATATAATCTCGGATCAGACACATTTTTCAGATTAGAAAGGTTTTTAACTGTAGCTCTTTCGAGAACATACAAGATAGCTTTTTAAAATGCTTTTAAAAATTTATGCAGGTTATGCTGAATCTGTACAACTTCCATCATTATATTCAGTTCTTCCTGTAGCTGGAACATTGGTAACTGGTCTGAAATCACAGAATATAGGCCCCAAATACCTAATTTTATTCTCTGGAGTCTCCTCTATGTGATGCAAAATATATTAAGTTTTAAAAGCAAACTACCTATTTGCTTTCTCATTCTTTTTGATATCCAAGGGAGTCATGAAAGCGTTTGGACTTATAGGAAAGAGATAGGAAGGTGCTGGTTTTGCCTCCATGAAACAGTATAGGAAAGTGCTTAAAAACCAAGGGAACAGAGATTTGGGAGGCACTACATGAGGATTCAGGTGACTTAACGGTCTTTGCCTCCCTGATAGGCCAATACTGTGGGGGACCGGGAGCGAGGATATTCTGGCATCAGTTTGCTCAGACTCTGAAAACTCCTTTTTTTTTGGCTGTGGCTCTGCAAAAATCTAAGCCAAATTAAGTGAGAGAAGTAAATAGAAAAGAAATTTAACATAAACACAAAACCAAAGTACTTCCAGAGATTCTAATTTGAAAAAAAGGAGCGTGATTTAGAGATAACATTTAAAATATATCCAGTATAATATACATAAGTAAGTTTGAATTTCTGACACTTCTCCCCTCTGTTTCCTAGCCACCAAACATAAACTGGTAACTAACACTTAGACTTGTTTTTTATCTTTTAAGGTGACCACAGGAAAAACATCCTGAAGGAGCAGCGTGGGTTCCAACTTGAACAGCATTTTCGATATGTACCATATTATCAAAGACATGCAAAACCAAAACATTCCAGTTACCAGACTCCTTCAAAAAGCACACCTTATTTTTACCCTAACTAATTTACGGCAAAGACAGCCTCGCTCAATTCTTTTCTTTCTAACCCAACGTCACACTTTTACAGTTTCCCCCTCAAGAGGGCTGGGGAAACTCCAAGGGAAAATAGGCAGGTTGTTGAGTGATGCCTGATTTTCTGTTTTTTATCATAAATATGCATCGCTGAGATACGGAATCTGGTGACCTTAATTCCAAGTTAAAGTTCTACGCGTGCATGGGGGGAGGAGATACAAAGGGAGGAAGGCCTTTTACAAGGTCATCCAGTCTTTTGTGCTTCAGGGGATAAAATCCTACTATTCAGATCTTTCAGAAAGCAGAACTCCTTTTGATATTACTACTATTTTATTTAATTATCTAGTTTGCCTCAAATACTATTTTATGTGCTGCGATGACTTTAGGGTACTTTAGATGTGATACAGTTAGATGTAAGCAGCTTTTTAATATTTTTTTTTTTGTTTCATTTTAATTAAATTCCTCTGAAGTCTATTTTATAAGCTTTGGTGGGATTTTAATTTAGCTCAGCATATTAAGTCATGACCTTATTATTATACCTTCAGCTTGTCACAATAGCTTTATGCTACTGGACAATCTTGTAGGTAAGTGTAAAGCATTTGGACAAAATCCTCATTCTAACACCAGGTAGCACTGCCAATAAATAAATATTAAGATCGGAACCTTCCTGGGGCCTTTACACGTGCAGTTATACCTGAACAATGTATCGAAACCAGTTTATATCAGTAAAACTCTTTGAAAACTGAATTCACTAGCTGGACAGCAAAAGAGCAATTTTGCTGCTATTGTTATACGGGCATTGTCATGTTGACAAGGACTTTGGCGATTTAAAAAAAAAAAAATTCTGCAGTATGCCAATAATTGTATATTCTGGCATGACATACAGTGGTTTATTAGTGTGCTTACTGCACAGAATCCTGCCACATCCTTTGTGATAAATGTCTCTGCAAACACAGCAATACTTACAGGAAAACATAAATTATAATAAAGGTATTAAGCATGCCTTTAAATCTGTCTTCAAGAGCAGCAGTGCTCTCTTAAATAGTAGATATACAAATATTTGCAAAGGTAGATCTATAGAAGGGGGGAAAAAATGACATTTTCTTCAAGGTTTAAATTTTCTATTAGGTTAATTTGCATCTGCGAACATCTGATTTACCAGGAGTACAAGATGACAAATACATCTGCATACATGTTGAAGTAAAACTGTCAACTTTCAAAAATGTGTTGAAAAGTAGTTGATTTAAAATCTGGCCTTGATTCTCCCTGCTAGTTGTTCAGACATTTTTAACTTACTTGCCCAATCAACAGGTAATTAGGAAAAAGCTACTTCACTGAGATCCATCAGTATGGATCTGTGAGCCTTCTCAGGATTTTATCATCAGGTTTATCCGTGGAAGATGGTGGCCTAAAGATACAAAAAGGCCCCTAATCACTAAAGCATGATGGGGCTGAAGTCTTGAGCCAAAAGTACAACAACAATAAAAGAGAATTAGAAAAAAAGCAGCCAGTGGATCCAGAAGACACAGCAGATTTGGAAATAACAGAGGCACAAAGAAAACAATTGCGAGAGGCCTCGCTTCTGGAATTGCTGAAAATAAAAAAGTTCAGACAGAATCACACCTGGCAAGTGATGATGAAATTGCGAATGTCTAACAAAAAACATTCTTGTAGATGTGATTGGCATTAATTCTGTTGCACTGTCATCACAGAACAGTTCTCAATGTGATGTAATTTATGAATTTTTATTGGGCACTGAAAAGTACATACTCCAGGCTATTCACACTGTGTAAAGCAAAGTCCAGAGATTAGCAAGTTATTAGTATGATGCATCTCTGAAAATGTAACGTTTTGCAAAGACTCCCTCTCTTAAAATGATGGTTTATTACACTGACACGTTATTGCACCTAAGATTTTTGAATGCTTGTATTCATACACAAAACCTAATTTTGACAAATTATCGTATGTGTGAGGAATGGGCATGAGGTTGTCAACAAATGGGATATGTTTTCCAAAATGGTTTCTATTCACATTTAATAAATACTTGGAAATAATGCATTTCTCTTCCTTTTAAACGGTAAAAGAACACAGCATAACGAACTACTAAAGGAAAGAAATTGTGAAAGATCAGATTACCATCTATGATGTACAGCACTAATATTTTTAAGGAAAAGTCTTGAAAACTAGCTTTCTAATAGGCAGTTTTCACATAAAGCCTCCAAAGCCATGAAAAGCGACTGGAAAGCAACTGCACAATGTCACGGTGAAATACATCATTTTTTAAAATGTAAATTAATACTTAGTCTGTGTCTGGGACTGGGCACGTCTTTGTTCTGTGTCTGTGCAACAGACTTGCCAGTTACAAACTTAACCAGTTAGGTAACAGCCAAGTGTAGTGCTCACCCTGAAACCACCCCGGACAGCTCTGACACTAAAGCAGCCCTCTGGGAACAAAATTCTTACTCTGGGAACTTGTGCCATTAACTTCAGCAGATCACTTTTAATCCTAAAGGTCCCCACCGTAAGAGAGCGTTTGCATTGCCCGCTCAGTCCTTTTGCACACCTGCTCTTTGTGTAAGAGGGATTTGTACGCTTGTTTATTATGACTGGGGCAAGATTCCTCTGTATTCAGCAAATGACATCAACCTCTAGTCGAGCTCACAGTACTCTAACAAGGGAGAGGAACAATTCCATGCGCTGCTTCCTTGCAAACACTTTGTACTTATCCACAGGCTACCATAAAAATCTCAACTAGGAAATGCTTGTATAAAATTTTGAAGCAAAAAACCCTGAAAGTAAAATATATATATATATTTCATAGAGACTACGGCAGTACTGGTGTCTTGAAGAAGACAGGAACACACTCTTCTCTCCCAGGGGCCCGGAGCAGGACAGCCAGCCCTCTGCCTGCTCGCTCACCACCTGGGGAGCTGGAAGATGAAATCGGGGTCCTGTTCTGCTCCCCCCGTCTGCCGGCATCGGACCTCTGCCACCACGAGCACAGCCTGAGCTTCGTAACCCGCTACTATTGCAGCTGTGCCAAATCTTTCCTTCTCAAGCTCTGCCCGGCTGGTATAGGTCTGCTTTCTTCGTGTCTACCCAACTGGCAGGAAGTCACAACTTAGATTGTTTGTTCAACGTTTATAAATAGTTTGAGCGTGACATTGAGGAAAACACTGGAACAATTTCTAATGCTGTGGAAACACAGGTGAAAGAAAAAAAAAATATTATTTGTGAAAAGAACTTCCTTGGCAAAGCCTCAACTTGATTAATAATTTAGTAATTCTCCTCCTCTGTGCAAAGCAGCACAGACAACGTATAAAAGTCATTAGAGAAAGCTCTTATGAAACTATTTAAATTACAACATAATCCTTTAATACCTAAGATGAAGAATATTCACGGTGAAGTTCAATTGCTTGAAAAATTCTCAGACGCACTGAGCAATTTCTGTATTAAGGAAAGCATAGCTCAGACTTGACATATATGCCCTACACAGAACAAACACGTTTTTGATCACGCTTAGTTTCTATTGTTTAAATAACCTATTAAAATAAATATATTTCATGAACAGTTTACAATGAAGCTTTTTTTTTCTTTATTTTTAAAGCATAACCATCTTCAGCATCACAAGATGTAAAAGGCAAAACCTCGATGAAGAAGCACAAGGTCTTTATGGTGTTTCTCTGTAATGTTTAGAATTCAGAAGGAACCAGGTGCACGCTCTCATCAGATGAGCCAAGAAAAAGCCATCGCTGGAGAAGCGCGCAATGATACAATTTAGTTTATCCATGTAGTTATATGGAATCTGTATATCTAAACAAGATTGCAAAAGACGCGGGCGTCCTGCTTTCGGTATAGTATTATTTCTCTCAGTGAAGTCGTATGATTTTTCTGTTTGTTACAGATTTATCATTAAAATGGGACGTAGTAGAGAACAGAGAGCAGCTGTTGTCAGAAACACACTGCCTACTCCTGGGATCTTAAAACTACACTGTCACCTCCGCACTGAAATCTCTTTCTGGGGGATGTTAGAGGCAAATATGAAAACCTTACCATCACTACAGTACCTAAACAGCTGTATCTCAGCTGCTTTATGGGGCTGAGGATCAAGTGATCCTGAGTCCTTTCTACAACTTTAGATTTGTCGTTAATAAAAACGCCGTGATTGGCCGAACGTTAACAAAAATGCTTTTCACTGTTGATCTTTACTACAGAAACAGACCAACAGAAGTGCACTGAGATGAGCACAGGAAGAAAGTAATTCTTCACCGTTTGTAATTCCTGTTATTTAGCTTGAATAATCTAAAAGTGGTGATTCTGCTACGCTGCTACACAGAACCTTATTATACCAGAAATTGTGCGGATCTGTAGTAATCAATAATTATGGTTATCAGTTATTTAAAGTGACCAATGTTTAATTAATAACAGATTAATACTTGAGATTCGTCCGTTTTCTGAAACCACACAGAGGCGTCTGTCCTCACACAGTTAACTTTCAGCGGCCGCACAAGCTGTGCATCTCAGTACCTGCTGGAAGTATACCATCCAAACACACAAAATATCAGCTCATCTGGAATTATTAAAAAAATTCATAGCTTTTACACGTAACCAAAAAGATTACTCTTAACTTGGTACTAGTGTCACAGTGAGAAACAGCAATGTTTTCCTGCACGCTAGTTTCCTAAAGGCTCTGCATTTCAGTGAGGTGTATCCCTGTATTTAAAAGCCTGCAGGCAAATCCTTGATTAGTAAATCTATTGTTCCGACGGAGCAAAGACACCTCTTCAGGCAGCACGGGCTTGCTACCTTTAGAAAGGAACACTGAAGTAAAGTTGCTACAGTTATTCCTGCGTGGCTGAATTCATGTTGAAAGCTTGCCTGCTTCTAGCTCCATGTTAGAGCGGTGCACAGGAAGGCCAGGCACACCAGCAGCTCTTCCAGACAAATCGGGAGAAAAACAATCAGAAAGTTATCTGCGCTGAAAGGGTCCCTCCCAAACGTCAGGTGTCACCTGTAGCAAGAGGAAACTGGGCTAAAGGGGTGAAACACGTAAAAACTGCTTCATTAAATCGTTCTTGGCAAATAACGCTCAGGCTCTCCAAATCTCAGTGATATTAGTTTGGCGTTAGAATTGTAATCTTTTCAGCACAGTTGCTCCTGGTTTACATAACCCTCCTCTGACACTTGTTACAACAGTGGGCCAACCTTGATTACCTTTGGCACGCGAGGTCCAACATAAAACCTGTTGAAATGGATGAAGAAAGCGCTGTTAACCACAGTAGGCTCTTGATTAACGACGGGCGACCTGGTTGAAAGTCAAGCTACTATTTTGTATCTTGTTGTGACACTGCAGTGTACCATGCTGCTATTAAAACGTGCGGTGGGTGAGCTCTCTCCCCTCCGCTGAACCTTCCCACCTGGTGAAATCCCGGCTCCCCCAGAGACCGAAACCCGCTCTTAGAAGACTCACAGGTCTTACTTATCAAGACAGTTTGGGCAGACCCAGCCTTGCGCTGGCCACCCGGAGCTTCTCTGCACTTTATATGCACAAAGCTTCAGTTCTGACATGAATTGGAATATTACTTCCAAATAGCTGCAGATAAGTACTGAAAAATTATTTATCTAGATAATGGATTTCAACTCTTTTAGAATACTTAATTCAAATGAACGCACGGTACAGGAATGAAATTAAAAGATTTAAAGAAAGTAATGCAGTTTGAGACTGAAAACAAAGCTCTGTTCTTGCATCAGAATGTATTAGATCTTGCAATTTGCATATACAAATAATTCAGCAACATTCACCGGCATTAAAAACACAGCAAGATGAAATTATAAACGTAATAAAAGAAAATAATAATAGCTGAAACTGTATAATACATACATATATTATAAAGATTTGACAAATTAAATACAATTTGGTTATACAGAAAAGTTTCAACAACTTTACATTAAAAATGGTACTCGGGAAATGAAAACATTTCAAAATACTGAACACAGGTGGTCAGGCTCATTTTAAAAGTTTAAAAAACCGATACGTAAAAATACCCTAAAAAACACTGGTAATTACAGTATGCATTCTTCGTTAAGGCCCAATTCAGCAAAGCACTTAAGGGATTGCTTCAGGAACAAAGAACCTATGGTACTTCAATGTTTCGTGGGATCGAGATGTAAAGCGAATGCTTAAATGCTTAGGTGAACTGGAACCTATCTTAACATGTGAAAAGGGACAGTCAAGTCACACAGTGACCAAAACCACATACAGATCAGAATGTACAACTTCTAATCGACTATTTGGTATTTTAAAGTAACTCCATGCAACACAGGAAAATTTAAAAGATAATTCGTAGATATCTAGATCAAGGTACAGCTCCCCGGTTACTACTGGCTAAACACGAGAGCCGGAAAGCAAGCTTTCCCGGTTATAAAAAAAGTCATGACGTAGCTCTATTTGCGACTTCTGAATTGTAAGGATTTCTGTTTCCTCCCCTCTATCTTAATCTAGCCAGAAGCCGAGCGCCCCCTTCGCATCTGAATTTCAGCCCAGCTCCACCCTGCTCCTCCTCGCCGCCCGAGCCCCGGCTTCGCGAGGCAACCTTTAATCCGAGCTTTTATTCTTGGGAGCCAAAAGGCTGGCCAACAGACAAACTTTTTTTTTTTTTTTTTTTTTTTTTTTTTTTTTTTTTCAAACGTAAGGGAAAAGTTTAGGACGATCCCGACGTCGGGACCTAACGGGAACATAAAACATGCCGCTTCGGAAAGCGGTGGGAATTTCTTGGTGTTGTTTTCTAGCATCATTTAACCTCTCTGAGTCTCCCTGTGCTACGAACGATCATACTGAAAACCTCACGGCACTGGTTTCCATAGCGAATTTATTTGATGGCTCGTGAAAATGGGATGAAACTTTAGCACGCAGCAGTAATGTAAACTTACTTCGCATCCGGCTCTGTTACTCAACACCTTCTGTGGCTTGAGTGTATCTTCTCAGAGACTAAATATTTGTCGTGAGTCGCTTTAAACAATTTTAAGTGCATAATTTACTGTACAAATAAATACAGAAGTGCAACGACGGGAAGACAAGAAGCAGTAAATGGCAGCGTTCAGAACAGCGTGCTTCGAAATTTCGAAACTGCGCCTTTCCCACTGGGTATGGAATGAAAGGCGAGGCACCACCACCCTCCCGCTTCCTTGCATTGTTACAGAGTATCGTGCTACTTGTTACCGGAAATGAAAAATGGTCCTGGGATAAAAATAGTGCAAGAACAATAGCAAAACCATCAGTGTAAGTTGCTCATTTTAAATAAGGCTTTTATGTTTGCATTGAAAAAACCCAACCAACTGGACAAGACAACTATTGCATATTCGTTATGTAATTAAAGTACATATTCGCATACTTTGTGCTCTTTAATTCATATATGCATTTTAAAGAGTGGAAAAGATAGGCTTTTGAATTATTCAACATTCGGACGCCCTGTGACTTTTGAATTTTCTAACCCCCAAGCATATCCTGGTCAGGGCTACAATAAAGACTTTTCAACTTTTTTTCACCAATTATATTATCAGTAGTATTTTCATTAAAAATATATCTATATACAGAATTCATATACCCCTTTTTGATAAAGGAATCATTCCTTTTTTGATAATATCTATGGGAGGGTAGGAACGTAGAGGAGCTTTTTGCTACAACACTTCATGTTGCTAGCTTTACGCTTAGTAAAACGTTTTATTCAAAATTTTAGCAAATACTGCTAATTATTCTGTTGAGTCGAATCAAAGAATAAGAGTTCATCTTTGTTTCTTTTGCCTTTTCTCAAATAAGTGGGAAATTATTCATGTGTACATAGAGAAGCTTTACATCCATTTCTGACAATGGCTATAAAGCCTCTTCACGTAGACAAGTTCAGGTGCCGCAAAATATACTCTTCTGCTATGCAAAATATTCTCAAAATAGTGGTAAACTCACATTATCGTCTTTCTAAATTGATTTAAGCTGGTGTAGTATTTAGGAAAGAACAAAATAAAAGGACTTTGAAAGCTCTATTAAATCAACCATTCACATCTGTATTTATACTGATTATATCTCACTGACAGTGGGACTCAAAATAGAACTGCCGTCAACCTGGAGGTTCTTAAAAACAGCCTTTAAAAGCAGTTATATTTTTCAGTTGGACTGTACATTATTACACATGAAGGGCCATAGTCTGATACCTTTATCATTAACTGCACTTCACTCGAACAGTCTCTGCCTTCAGCGAGACTATTTGTGAAATAAATTACAGGTAAGCACAAGCAGGTTATCAGAATGTGTCCCCAAATAAACATCTATTTTCGTAGTGAAGAAAGGCTTACGGCCCAAAGATGTTTAGTTTGAACATATGTACCACAATTCACTTTTTTTAATATGAAATCTAAATCATCTGTGTAAAGTTTCAAGAATTGGGAGATAGCATTCTTGATAAATATTTATAAGTGGAAAAATTCAAAGAAATAGACCCTCAAGAATTAATTTACTGTTATTTAGAATAAAGACTTCTATACCATCTCATAGTGATATACTGTATATGAACATTATACTTCGCTTTAGAAGATATTTATATTTAAGAAATAACTTTATACAGCAAATGCAACTTTGAGAGCAAACACAAGGTCATATTTACAGTAAAGTCAACAATCAAAATGACACGGAATAAATTAACAGCATATACAACTATTTATACAGAGAAATTAAAAAATAAGGCAGGAATTCTCATTTGAAATTAGCATAATCAGAAAATATGTCGATGAAATCTTGTACCACTCTGTAGCAGAATTCATACTGTTCCTGAAAAACAATAAAAAGGTATCAAAGTGTGCTTGGGGGGGATCGGAGAAAATCACACCTATGCAAATCCTAGTGCTAAATGCACCACGTTCTAACGACCAGGAGCTGAGGGTTGACCTGTTCTGATTTTTATGGATTTTTTTTTTTTTTTTTTCTTTCCATAAAAGCAGCAGTACCTAGTTCTTTGGTCAGATACAGGCTCATTGCCGCTCTGCAGCTAAGATGATCTCCTTAAGCTTTCCAGGTGCTAGTTCTTAAGCAGAAGAATGGATTCTCAGACCTGCCTTCTCATTTAAATCGAGCAGCTTATTGTGCCCGGCTCACCTGGAGCAGGTGACTCCTCCTGGGCACGCCCCAGGGGCCTGGCTGCTTGACTCCGGGCTCCATCTTCTGAGCTTTACAGCAAAACTGAGCGACAGCGTAACTTTAAACGTACAGGACATTTAAAACCCCTCTACATTCAGTTCTGTGGAACTGCAAAGGCTGTCAGCGATATATTTTGTTTTATACCCCGTCAGCCTGCCGGCTAGTCCTTGGCATCCTAGAGGTGGGACGCAGCCCGAGACGCCTTCGACATGATTTGCTGGATTGCAAAGTCTGTAGCAACACTGATAAGAAGTGGAACTGGCCTCTGGATTCACTCGTGCTGGAAAGCAGAGTTTAGCTGAAGCCTTTCCGCAGGCTCAGCTGGGAATAGCTGTGGCAATGACACCCTTAACTAATATTATTAAATCACAGTGCCGGAACCCCAAAAGAAATATTTCAGCCCTGTCTCAGCGTGACTGGGGATAATCCAGTTCTACTTCTTCAACCCCTTTCTTCCTATCTGTAGTACGGAGAAAACCTCTACCTGAAATAAGGTGTTCTGAGATAACTGTTTCTAAAGAAGTTTCAAATTACTGAAAGCTGTTATCAAAAAAAAAAAAAAAAAATCAGCATTTTTAGATATTTTCCCAAAACATAACTCTCAAAACTTCTTAATATTTATTCAGTAGGGAAAAGCGTCTGGACCAAGCCTCATGTATTCCTTACTGGTGACTTTAAAGAAGTCAAAGACATTTCTCCCTTTCAGTGATCAACTGCAAGCCAATTTAAGTCCAGACATTTTAAGGTAAGAAAGGGCAACGACTGATACAGAGCTTGAAACTCATTTACTTCATGTGTTTTGTCACCCACAACATGCAAAAGATTTTGGTTCAACTGTCCTAAAAGACACAGAACGTTCAGCCACATTGTATTTTCAGAAATGCTATTTAAAAAAAAAAAAAAAAAAAAAATCTGTGAAAATACAGATTTCTGATAATACCTTGTACATACACAGCCATCATACATTATTTATTTCAACCTGCAAAAAAATCCTTTGTTCTCCCACAAGAATATTTACAAACATATATCCTTTGACAAAGCTCCGGATTGTTAAATATCATACCAGTGTTTGCACCATATGTGGCCTTTGCAGTCTTAAGCTCTTCACAGCTTGAAATACATCTAAGAGCCCTTCAGCCTTCACTCGTTCCAGAATATTGCTGAGTGCTATGAAGGTCCCTGTTCTTCCAGCGCCAGCACTGCAATGGAAAGACATTTGCTCGACATACAGTATTATAAAAATGTTAAAAGAGAAATAATAGTGATGTAAAATAGCCAAATACTATTATTAGCCAACTTCTCGGGGTTTGTGCTTATTTTGTCACCTCAGCTCTGCTAGGAGGGAAGCCAGAATCAACAGAAATGAAGAGGGAGCCAGGCTGGAACCACTAAAGGCTCGTTAGGGACAGCTTCTGTACGCAAGCGGGAGGGAGATCCTGAGCTGGCAGGCGAAGCCTGAGACGCGGATAACGCGCTGGCAAAGCTGCCAACTCCAGCCGGCGTCCCTCTTCAGCAGAGGCAGCTCTCGGGGTTTATTCTTGATGCGGGAGAACCCAACCTTTAGGCTTTCAGTTGCAAAACTGGGTTAGAATGCAAAGCAGCGCTCTGTGATCAAACCCACATTTTTCCATTAGGCTGTGATTTACACTTGGGCACGGTGGACAGACACGAAAGCAGCGTTGTTATTTTATTACTCCAGAGCAATTGGATGGAAAATGTCCCACGATTCTAATAGCTTTTCAGATCTAAGCCATCTCTTCTCTAGTTGGAACTAGAACACCTTTAAGGTCCCTTCCAACCCAAACCATTCGATGATTCTCAGAGGTATTGATGTAAGGACAAACTAAACAAGACGACCCAGGAGGCTACACTACATACAAGAAACTAAAATTGACCGTTCTGCCTCGGTCTGGACTACCATAAATCACCTAATGTACTCCCAAGTAACTGCAATTTCTTTTGTTTCGGTGTGTTTGACTCAGTATATTTTGTCCTTATCTCTGTTTCAGATCGTGATGCCGTGGAACCAAAATATATTTCAGTCTTTGTTATCTGATTTATTATGCCTAACCCTAGAGCCAAAAAAAAAAAAAAAACAAAACCCCACATTTATTAAGGACGATTTGACACCAACAAAGCAGTGGCTGTGCACTGGAACACCGATAGCTTTGCTAGGGAATAGTTACTAAAAGCAGGATGGGATTGGGAAATCGGCAATCGGGGGTAAGACGGAGTGGCGGGTTCACTGGATTGCTGAATAAGCATAAACACAAAATACTTTATTAAATTGAACATTTTCATGTCTTTTAAGCATAAGTGGGTGAACTGTACTCACGTGTCATTGCTTCTATTTATTTCTTTCTAATACAAAAAACCTGATAAGCACAAGCCTGATGAAAAGATTAAGTGCAAATGCAGGTATCCTCAGCTGGGTACCTTAAAAGTCCCGTGGGAGGGAAAATGAACAGGTACAATGTATTAGATGTGTTATTCCCTTTAGACAATTACTTTTATCAGATTAAAAAGACAAATATAAAATCTAAAAGGGTTCAGATTCGTAATTAGCTAATCTCTAGTAGCTATTTGTGGCTTCTAGAGTAACCCGTGAGTGGTGCATTTCCAAGTAGGCCTACAACTGTCCAAAGATGAGGACACGAAGACATGAGTAACCCTGCACACACACACCATCACACACGTTGCTTACTCATTTATGCCCAGAAGAGGTTTATACTCCGTTTGTAAAGCTCCTTGTGCTAGGCTCCCTCTCCTTCTAAAAACAGGATTTTAGAAAATCCTTAAAGCCCACAGAAGATGTGTTTGTTTGTTTGGTTTTTTTTAATTAATTTAAGAATTTTTAGTATGGATGCATGGAAAACTAAGCTGCATTTGAAAAGCAGGAGAAAATACATATTGTGTCATGGGAACACAGTACTACTCTTTGCATACTCGCTTCTCTTTCTGCAATTCCCTTAAAATGAAAAGATAACTTTTAAAATTGACTCAAGCTTCATTTCTTGAGACGGAAAGTTCGAAGGGAAAAGGACACACAGCATGGGCAAAGACTTGGCAAAAGACAGAAGTAAGGGATCCCTAACTAACTTCTGTGGTTTATTAGCGTGGAAAGGAGGAGAGGTTGGAGAGAGGGAAAGCAGAGGTAGCCATGAACCACACAGAGGGCAGCTGCAGACACGCGCTGCAAGGGAAGGATTTAGAACCCATGGGCTCGAATTCTCTTGGCAACTCAGTTAGCAAAACCCTTCTAAACTATTTAGCGTTATGTCTTGATTCTACTTAAGCATCATCTTTTTGTGGCTCCTTAAACTGTTCGGAAATAGTTGGAAAAAACGAACAGAAGTTTTCATGGGTTCATGTGAACGTTCTGGAAAATCAGTTTTAGACTTGAAATGTGTTTACTTATTCATAAAGTTATATTCATTTATATTTTAAGACTCAAGTATGACTTGATGGAGAAGTTCAAGTAAGTCAAAAGCTGTGATGTCCAGACTGTCCAAGTAGGGACAGGGGGAAACTGTCAACATTAAAAATCCTAGAATACATCGTGTGGTTTGGGTCTTAATTTCTTGTTTAATGCATTTTGAAACGATGGCAGTAGATTTTTTTTAAAAAGCTAAGAAAAATGCATGCCAAATGATTGAGCTAAGGCTTCAGAGAGGCTGCAGGTCTAAAAGCTTGAAAAAGTAGCTGCAGTATATACCTCAGATAGTTCTTAGGTGTCTAACTTGTGCATCTCTTATTTTACTGGCCAGAACTCCCTGATATTTTCCCCACTTTAATTATCGTTTAGAACTGTAACAGCAGCATTTCAAAAGAAGTGGCTGTTAAAACGTGTCAAATGGCAGCATCCAACACAAAACCTCAGCACATCCACACGGCCCTGGAGCGCAGCCACCGAGGGCTGGGGGAACCCCCAGGCCCCCGGGGAAAATGTATGAAACCAGCAAAGAGCAAAACCCCGCCGAAGCGAGGAGGAGAACGTTTCAGCAATGAATATGCATTGGTACAAGATCACGTCCCAAACCACCGAGAAACCCGAGGCCCGGCCCAAGCTCCCGCCATCTCTTTGCTTCAACCGTGCGTGAAAAATGCCGGTGACATTGCAGACAGCCCGACACAAACCACAGCGCTCAGAGCCTGAGCCAGCACCTTCGGAACTCAAGTCAGAGCAAAATAAAAGTCAGAGACCAGCTGTAATACGCCCGTTCCTATTTCTAACTCTAGTAGCAAGCAGGCAGCTGCTTCTACCAAAATATTTCCAAATGGCCAGTGAGTTTTCTTCCCTGCAGGTGATGCTACAATAAAAACTTGAGCATCACATAAATTAATATAGGGTGTTTTTTTTTGTTTTTTTTTTTTTCTTTTTTTGGAGGAGAAAAGATAATCAGTTACTCATTCGAATCTCAAATCCTCAAAAATCAGTTGGATGTTCTCTGAAGCGCAGGACAAATCCAGAAGCAGCATCAGATTATCTCTCTGGCAAAAGGTTGGAGAAGCTTTTCCATGCAGTGGTCAGGCCTCTATCACAGGGCAGGTGCCAAGTGTTTCTCAGTAGCGGGTTCACAGGCAGGTAGAGAAAATATCACAATTACTAGAAGTTTTTAGGAGATAAAGATGCCAGGAACTTGACCTCCATGTATCGCTAGAAGACACCCAACGGTCCAGCAAAACCAGTTGATGTTGTACAACATGGCCAAGAGGAAAAGACTTGAGAGGCCAGTATTTAGAATTAATTAAAGAATCGATTGTTCAGGGCCATCAGTGACAAAACAATAATTGTTTTTTATGTCGTGGCTGAGCCTGCGAGCTTCAACCGGGAGAGAGACTCTCCCGCCGGGCCTACAGGGACCCAGCACAGAGGGCCCTGGCCTCCGAAAGCTCCTGGGTCCATCTGTCCATCTCCCAGAACAGGCCCAGGCAGTCCCCAGCAGAAAAGGTTTGTGCCAAAGGGTGACTTCTTGAGGTTAATAGCTGCTTCTTAAAAAAAAAAAAAACCAAAAACAACCCAAAACATCAGAACTTCTCCAGTGGGGGCTCTGAAACCCTGCCCGCCCCGCCCCTGGGTACTGTGAGCTTGACCTTGCATTGACCAGAAAAAAGAAAAAGCTTTATCGATTTATAAAATTTAAAATATTTTAAAACCAAAGTATGATTTGTGAATTAGGAAAAGGCAGAATACTAGTTTTATAACTACTTTTTTTTTTTTTTTTTAAATTAGCAGGTGTAGTATGGAAAGAGAAGAGACAAATTTAAAAGACTGATAAGAAACCCCACACTGAAAAATATAATTTGTAAAAAAACAGAAGCCCAATATATACCTTTTAAAAATGACAAAAAAAAAAAAAAAGACACAATAAAAATGTACAATTAAAAAGAAGCCCCCCAAAAAAACAAAAAGTGAACACCTGGCATAGGATGAAGAATACAGAAGCTACCTCTTAGCATTACTGTATTTTCTCTCTGCTTTCAGGAACAGGCGCATGTTTTTTGCCTTCAGCTGAGATTAGGGATATATTTTATTCTCCTGATAGCTTGTAAAAACCAACCGCACTTTGATCCTGATAGAACATTTGTGCTCTGTTTTGGTGGGGCCTTTTACCCATCACTACAACAAACCTACAGCTTTACTTCCCTAATCACAGCGTTTAGCAAAACTCGGGTGCAAGGCTACAACACCCCAAGTCAATAATGCGTTTGTTTGCTCCCAGGCACCAAGGTTACCGTCAGGGTGTTCACTTGGCTAATTTAGCAAAAAAAGTCAAAAATCCTTTATGCAATATATGCAATACTAGGTTTTCTTTTTCTCGTCTTTCTTAATTTTTATTTGGTTTGTTTTTTTTTTTTTTTTTTTGTTGTTTTTTTTTTTTTTTTTTAAAGGATGCAGGCCTTTGCAGAGGAGAACTGCTGTAAAAACAACCAAGCTGGAGAAAAAGCAAGCTGGTTCCTTAGCTACTGGCGGGAAGAAGCTGCGGCTCTTACCTGCAGTGCACGGTGATGGGGTGATTGCCCGTCTGCTGCTGCTGCTTTTGGACGGCTGCAATCAGGTCGATCATCCCTTTGCCTTCTGCAGGAATCCCGATTTCTGGCCACCCATGGAAATGGAACTGCCGAACGAGCCTGCTTTGCTTCTCCTGGTTACCCTGCGTGCAGGAAAACACCGGATTGATCCAGCTGTTACTTCACAACGCAAACACACTTCTTACCTTAAACATCTGTAGCATAACTTTTGCACCACTCTAGGAGAGGGGGCTATTTGCAGCCTGGTCCGTAATATATTGGTGACGCAGACCTGAGTGCTGTTTCTAAATTCCCCCCCCAACTATGCTGATAATTAACCCTCTACTTTTCCTTTTGCTTTGCACAGCTCTTTCCTCCGGGTACACTTAAAGGCTGTTCATCCCAGTGGCTGAAAGCTTTCACCACACACAGGCCGCTTCCAAAGTGCCACGAAAACAACCCAATTCACGAAATGCACTCCCCACCTTTGCACGCCACCACCTGCTACTTGGAAACTTAACAATTATTTGCCTCGTCTTTCTGCTTGCTGACCCAAAGCACGCTAAAAGTTCGAATCGGTGTTAAGACCATGCTGATGCAGTTAGCTCTGGCCAGGTTTGGACACACAAAGGCTTTTTGCTTCAACTACCCTGAAATTTTTTGCTTGCTGCTTCCCATGCTTGCATTATAATAGCGTACAGATGCAATATTAATATTCTGGCAATTTTTATGACATCGACCAGCTCCTGCAAGCCGCAGGGAGTTGAAAACACGAGGCCTCTGCTGATGTCAGGTGCTTTCAAACACAGGGAACGAGTTTGATGGGAAGTCTCTGGACACGGTTTTGTACTGGAAGCCTGGAAGGTTTCACCATTACGGGGAAAAGGGCTTGGTCAGTCCTGTCGTCCCAGCTCTGCAGGGGATCTTTGAAGGTAATAGCGCTTCAAATATCATCGCTGCGGTCTAGCTGGTCTCGGGCACAATACAACCCTTACTCTGATTTCTTAGATCTGCAGCAGCAAACACTTCTAACGATGCCACACGGTGGTGGAAAAACACTGCTGCTTGGATATCACCTGAAAGGCTGTTACTTGAAGTTTAAATAACTTTCCAGTGTGAAGTAAAGTCAACATGCTGGCAAGGACTCTGCTCTGTGAAGCACGGTGTGTATTCATGCCTAATCCACCACCCCTCTTCATAAAGAAACAGAGAGTACTTTGAAGTCCTTTTGCTTCGCATGTGACAACTATTAGAGTGCATAAATTATATGCAGTGCCGTAAGTAGTTAAATGAGTTATATTCTTAACTGCAAGAAATTTTTTTTGGTGGTTTTTCAAACAGAGCAATGCAAATCAGATCCTAAAGAAATGAAACCTTGAAGAGATGCATGCCCTGTAGCAGAGCAACATAAAAGAAGAGCTGGTAGGCAGAGGCAAGTACATGTGCTGTACAATGCTTCATAGGATTTAAAAATCTTGTATCAAATGTTCTGTTATTGATATGTGGGAAACGGGAGAAAATACAAGAATAACAGCAACAACAAAACATAAATAACCCTGCCAAAACCCACACCCCACTTTGACCAAGGACATGTTTTACTGACCAGAGTTTTCACAGAGCTTCAAGCAAAAACGTTTCATATAAGTTTCCTCTTGACTGAGACAGTGTCATCGTTGATTATAACCACATTTATCTTTAGACCGAATTCCAGTGTCTAAGTTAAATGATCATATTTGTAAAGGCCTTCAAATGCAAAAAACCCCCTCCTGTAATTTAAGAACATTACCTGATTGTATGAAACTACGAAGTCCCTTACACTTATGGCATCTAGCAGGCTGTCATTTTTGATTTCTACGGTTATCTCTCCGTGAGTCACAGAGCCCTCTGATGGCCAGTACTGGCAGCATTTTTCCTGCAAAAGCCAGAGAAAATTGTAAAAGTTCCTTGAGATTTTTTCCAGTTATCTACGTTGTCATGAATCTCTGATATAGGACGTGACATAAAGCATCATAAATGTGTTCTAAGCACTTTGCAATGAAAAGGCTAGTATCCAAGAATACATAATAAATTCTTTCTATAGTATAAACCATTAAGATGAGAAGGGCTTAGGAGTCACAGATAGCAAATTCTGCTTTAAAACAGAATTGAATCAAATAAGCGTCTCCTGAAAGCAATGGAATGTTGTCAAAAAGCCTCCCCCAAAAAAACCATTCTGCATCACTAAAACATCCTGGCTATAGCGCTGAACCCCAGACCTCCAAACCGCAGCGCCCCGAGGTAAACAGGACTCACTTCACCAGCGGAAGAGGCACCAGGAGAGGTTCAGAATAAGCCACTGGAGCTTCTACTGGCAGAACAGGGAAGTTTTCACAAAAGCTTTGTCCAGCTCTTCCCGAATCCCAAAGCACTGTCCCGCGCCAGGCATCCCCGTAACTTTGGTGCTTTTAATGCGAACTGGGCTCTTTTGCAAACGATACTTTTCATTCGGTGCTTTTGGTGGGTTTTCTGACAATTCAACCAAAAGCAGCAACAGTGGCCCCCCCCAAACAGCGAAGCAAGTGCTCATTTTAGGCAAGGCGAAAAAAACCTCGTAGCGGTAGAGTTTGCAGGCGGCAAACAGCTTATCTAACAGTACAGCTCTTCTTTTATAGGCGTGAACGGCAACCGCTTTGCTCCGGAGCCGGCGGCTGCGGGACACAAACCTGCTCCCTCTCCTGAACTTCTGTGAGCATAACGATGGTGTGGCACTTCCACTCCCACACCATCCGCCAGAAATCCTCCACCGTGTGCGGAAGCGGTCCCTGGGTGGCAATGAAGTAATCCTTCTGGCGATAGCCCTGCGGAGAAAGACCAGGACACCTTTACGGCGTGACACGGGGCTGCAAGCGGCGGGAGGTGGGAGGTGACGGTCGGAGAGGAGATGAAGGTCGGAAGGGATGAAATTCTGCAGTGATACGTAACGGAAAGGATTTTCCAATGAGATTGTAACAACTATTCGCTTTTCTGCGGAATTCACATTTAACTCAATTTTTGAGCTATATGGTCCTCTCTACACACTGAGGCCATCTTCACAGCCGTGGTTTCCACAAGCCTCAGTCACTAATGGGGTTTTACTCCTTAAGGATAGAATGAATGCTCATATTTCAATAAAAAGCAGACACAGTGGAGGTCGTTGCCCAGCTTCTCACAGGAAGCCGAGAAGACAGTTGGGAATTAATGCACATGTGGCCCGGTAAACCCTGGCTCCCAAATGCTGTGACAGCCTTTCCCCTCTCTGAATACGGAGTTTTCTTTTTCCTTTCCTCAGAAGAGCCCATATTTTCATCCGTTAACCTGAACGCAGATAAGGGAACGGCTGGATGTTGGCTGTATAGCTAACTTGTTTCGCTCCCCGTTTGTCAGAATTTAATAAAAGCCTTAGTTTACAAATCTAAGAACAAGAATGTTTAAATTACACACCCATTTAAGCTGAAATTGAAAACACCAGATACGAAATTTATTTGGAAACATTCATAAGCCAAACCGAAACAAAAAAGCTAATGTTCTTCACAAGCCCAGTTGATTGTATCTCTTTAAAAAAGCCTTATCAGCAACAGCAAAATACCTGACTTGCAATTTAAATACACGAACATTTTTTATACGTACATCTATGAAGGAAGCATTGATGTAGTCTGTATACTCTTGCCCTCTTTTCATCGACAGAATCACTCTATTGAAATCATCTGGAAAAAAAAGGAAGTCTAGTCTTACTTTTGCTAACTGCACGTCGACTGCGCCGCTATTACATTTGTGAAAGAACAGAAGCAACAAAATCTTTCATCTGAAAGCCAAAGAGTGTCTCAAAGATCTTATCCAGGATTTCCTAAGTGTGGGGAGGAGGGCGTCAGTTTTTTGGCTGTTGTTTTCCCAGTCACACCGGACACGGCCAGCAAGGCCTGAAACTTTCATTTTCAGGTGCAGACGTTCCAGTGCTGCTCCGGACCGCGCAAGGAATCACACAGAAAATACGTCGGTTTAAAAGGTGAAACTGCTGAATTATTTCATTCAGCCCTGAAAAATACCCGATCGTAATACATTTTACATTGCTAAAGTAAAAACCGATTCGTTCAGTTGTTTGCAGGCGCTTTAGAAGGGCTTTACACTTTATAAGGAGAGGATAGTGCTGTCTGTAAGTTCTCTAGAAACTTGAGAGCAGACATGTCTGCAGAGAGGACAACAAGACCAAGGGGATGGCTAATGGAATCACCCCAAAAAGAGTGTTCTAGCTAAAAATGAAGCAAACCCCAAAACTACCCCTTTGGACAGAAAAAAATGTTTTTGAAAGCGTCTGAATTTTACAGGCAGAGAAGTTAAAACTTTTTCTCTAAGACACGTGCAGTAGCTATTTGCAGAATTCCAGTTTCCACGTGGGGACGGGGCCTCTACCCTTGAGTTATCCCACCAGAGCTGCGCTCGGCTATGAGCTGGGCTGTTGTCAGCTTATAGCGTGCACTCACTACAGCCTTAGGATAATCAGGTATTTGTAGCACTTGTTTCTATATATAAAAAGCTGATCTCTTACATGGGATAATCTGGATGACTCTAGCTTTCTTCATGTTTGCTGGAAGATTGCCAGTTCTCATGTTTTCTTTCATTATTCGAACGTTTGTTAACTTCTGTAATAAAACACACAAATGAGGATGAGGACCCACTGGAACAGAAGCGGTTCTCGCTCACCGTATCCTGTACTCAGAAGGTTCCCAAGCGTCTTTATCAGGTACAAACCAGCGACACAGTCAAAGCCAGACTGACTCCTCACAAAAGCCACTTCATTGTCCTGCCTATAAAAATGAATTAGGAATAACAGGCATGTGATTTTTTTCATACTGATAAATATTTGAAGAAGCGGAACATACTCCCAAGGCGTATCAATAGAGTTGAAGGGCTGTAAAATGACAGCAGATTTTAACATTTTGGGTTTGTTTCTTTGTTTTTAAGACACTTTTGGACTGCCTGAGTGTGGCTTTCAGAAGCAAGGAGCACCCGTTCCCTTTGAAAAGGTCTAAGCTTCTTAAATTGGACATTTGGAAACTTACGTGTCATAAAATCAGCCACTTTTGAAAATAAGGCTTAATAAACATTAATTCCATTTTATTGGATTAACTGTATTATTTCCTTCCCAACCTTTTGGTAGGCAGAGGCAGGCTGACCACCACATCCACCACCATCTGCCCCGGCCAGCCGGGCGCTGCACTAACAGCCTTTTCACTTCCACATTGTTCTCAAATGCTTAAAAAAAAAAAGTTCTCTTTTACAGACTCCCTCCGTGATCAGAACACGAACTGAATTCATATTCGTTTCATTCCTATTACGATTATTACAATCTTCTGGCATAATAAGGTCGCACGAGTTTACGGGGCAGCTCTGCACCAAATCCTGCAACTTGGCTCTATACCTTTTCAAGCTTTTGCTAGAGAAAGGACCAATATTCTTTAGTATTTCTTCAGTTTGTGCTGACAGCATTCCCAGGACGCAGAAGACAAACACTGCCCTGGCCCTGACAATTTTTTTTTTTTTTTTATAGTATAGATTACACACGGCCGGATTGTGCAAGGTAACACAACAATAACAGCCGGCTGCCGCCGGCGTGGGACTTACCAGGAAAAGATCATAGTTACACCGTTGCATTTCAGCAACTATTTAACAGAAATTCAAGTGAAATGAAAAATAATTTCATTTTCAAATGGCAAGCGGATTTTCAGGCATGTATTTGCCAGGTGCTGAGTTGCAGGAGCGTGTCTCAATTCTAGCAAAATCTCTAGTCCCGGCAACAAACTATTAAAAAGAAGCCCCTGCCCTCTGAGAAATCACTTTCTGGCCACTCTGAAACACTGTGTTGGAGGGGCTTTACGTCAGAGTCTCTCACACCGGTCACAGCACGGCTCTACTCTCTGTCGGCGCAGGTGGGCTCAGTGCTCCTGGGCCGTCTAAATGCTTCTCAGAACACAGAACAGAATTAAACGCGGCTCTCTTGCGCTTTAATGCAGCCTTGCTGGCACAGTGGACAGCAAAAACAAATTTAGGAATTCAGGGAAAAAGGAGAATAACTTGTTGGTTTTATGTGCTTCCTTCCCTCAGACAGACCAGTACTTCTGATTTTTGACCTTGTTGCTACGTCAGGCTTCTTTTTAAATAATTTTCTTTTTCCAGTTCCCAATTTCAGATTAAATTAATCCTTCAAATGAAAGAGAGAGCTCCCGTTAACACCTATAATGTTATTTAATGCTTTAGACCTGTATATAGCATAAATATTCTAGCGTAGCAGAAGTCATGGAAAAGTTCTAACTATTTCCTCAGGACAATACAGTCTATTTTAAAAAATGATCACAGCCAGTGTGGTTGCTTTCGGCATTTTGGGTTTCTCCGCTAAACAGAAATGTTTTGGTATTTTTTTTCTTTTTTTTTTTTTTTTTTTTCCCTGACAGGCCTGGATATTCAGCACAAGATGTGTAAATCCTCTGCAATTCTCTCTGCTGTCAGTCATCACGGAGTTAACGAACCTGCTGAGATGCAAATTAGGCGCATGTAATCCAGCTCCCTCCTTCCAGCATTATCTGATCTGGCATCTAGTACCCGACTGAAAGAATAATTCCATTTTTCTTTTATAAACAAACAGAGAGCATATAGGAAAGGGTCTGTGAAACGCTGCAGCTCTGAGTGAGTATTTGCAGGAGAGGATGTTCGGCAGGGCCCCGCTCACCGCCTCCGCCGGACCCATGTGCAGCAAGCACAAAATAAAACAAGTAGTTCTGTTTTGACGGGCCTTTTCTTTTAAGGTTACGCTTTTCCTGCTTTTGAAGTATCTTTTTGGCTTAAATGTTTCCACACTTAGAAATCCTATGGCAAAGGACTTTCATACTTACTTTAAATTCTTCTTCTAGCCCTATTTTGACAAGGTTTGGCGCCGCGTTGTGTGAAGTTTGGAGATGTTTTTCTAAGGATGACACATCTAGCTCCGTGTCACCGTAGAGGTAGTATTCGAGTAAGGCTTGATAAATGAAGGAGTATTGCATCTGGAACCAACAGAAACCAGCCATATAAACATACTGCAAAGCGAGGGAGCGAAACGATCAAATCTGGCACTTTCATTTATCTCGTTTTGCCTACCATCTGCTACTTCTCAAAATACACCTTCAGCTAAACCAGTTCCCCTGCTACAGCACTGACATGCTCTAAATTCCACTCTCTTGCACGCAGGGAAACCTGGGCGTGATACCTGAAGGCAACGTGCCTTACGGTGGTCTCACAGCCCTAACGTGCCTCTGTCTTCTTCCCCAAATCATCTTTCCACTGGGCTTTTGTTCATTTTCCACCCATCCAGGTGTGCAACAGACTGGGACGTGCCGGGATGCACACCAGCGTGGAAATACAGAGGCAGAGTCTTCTTCGACTGCAAAAAGTTGTAATTTCTAACCGATGCAAGTCCACTTACGTCGGTCTGAACCATCTGCGGACGCTGATTACGGATTCTTGAAACAAACTCAAAAACGTCAACTTTCTGTTCCGCGTGCATCATGTCGATCATGGCATCGATAACGATAAACGTGCCGGTGCGACCCACGCCAGCGCTTGAAAAGGAAACACAAACAAACAGAAAGGGTTCTATGGAGCTACCAGCTCTGCAGGAAGCGCTACAGCAATGACACGGGTAGAACTTACGCCCTTTATACTGGACTGAAATACTCACTGTGATACAAACCTTCATTTTTTTGTTTTAACACCAAGAGCAAAAAAAGGCTCGCGTGTAAGTTTTTAACATGAAAAGTCACTTCAGCGTATCAGAAATTATGACATCAGAGTTATTTAGAAAAGAAATTTGGAAAAAAAAAAAATCTGCTTGACCAGCTATAATAATTCAGTCTAAGACAAAATTTTAAATACTTTTTCTTAATTCTTAGCTCTTTTCTGCATGGTTGCTGTCACATGCTACTCCGCTAATAGCTATCTGTTACAAATTCTACACTTCCTAACACTGCCATCCCAAAAAATATATATTTTTTTTTAAATATCCTTCATCAGCCACGAGAGGGAGCACAACCATTATAAATTACACACCACCCCAGCGACTTTCAGCTCTTCCCTTCAGAGGAAAAGGGCATGGCATCCTGTGCTAGGCGTTAATAGCTCTCCTTTAACCTTCTGTTAGCTTGCTTTGTACAGCAACTGCTGTAACGTCCACAAACACCCGAGACACGACCAAAATCTCTGCCCTTATCCCAGCCTGCTCAAAGACACAGATCCACTTTCAGCAAGCAGACATCAGGTTTTAAGTAACCGCAAAAAAAAAAAAAAAATATATATATATATATATGATTGAGTGCATAATAGGACTCAGTTCATAGGTCCACTGAGATACTTTTAACGGCAGACGCCCCGCGGAACCGGAGCCCCCCGAGCCCCCCAGTTCCAGAGGGTGGGAGGGACTCCGGAGATGGGCAGACCCACCACCAAAACTTCACACAGCTTCTCCAGGGTGAGCGAGCCCGCCGGAGCCCCCTGCCTCCAAACCCCTTTGTGTTTAATCGCGGGTTGGGCAGGTTCCCCTCCCTCCTCGCCCAGCCCAGCACTCCCACCCACCGGCCCCCTCTGGGGCCACTGACCGCGGCTCTTCCACCCCACGGCGGCCAAGGCTCCCGGCCCTCTCACTTCCTTTCGCCCACTCCTGACCTCTGCCACCGCCGATAAGCCCACCTCGAGTCCTGCTGCCTTGACTCTGGGTTTACAGAGACCTTCCTCCTCCTGACGTGTCCTGGAAACCACCCCCGGGCATCGCCTGCGCACGCTTGTCCTGCATTCTCGGTCCTCTAAGCTTTCACCCAGCCGAGCCCACGCTCATCTTCCTCACTTCTCTTCCCCTTTACCGATAGGATCTCTTTTTACACATCCCTGTTCCCTCCCCGGGGCCTCTGCCCCAGGGTTACCTCACTTCAGATCAGCGTTTAATTCAACCCTTCCAGGTTCCTGCTAAAGCTGATAATTCCACCAACCTCGCCGTTTCCCTCGGAAGTTCCCTGATTTTATTCATCCTTAACTCACTCTAGGGTACCCCTTACGCAGCTACTCCTCAGTGTAGCTCTCTGCTCACTGAAAAAATGTATTTCTGAAAACTTGTGGAAAAAAAAAGAATTGGCAGAAAAATCCTGCTTCCCCCCCCCCCCATCTTATCTTCACTTCCAAATGCTAAGTTAGTGTTTAATTAACTTCCAAAAGATTCCAGCTGAGCAGCTTTTGTCAGAATGACCGTGGGATATTCTTATAAAAGCTCACTAAAAATGGATGGTTACTCACTATCGATGAGTTTCCCTTTCCTTTCTTCAACAATTCAACAGTGTCATATCCTGAACTGTAACGGAAATTAAGTGTCACCTCTCTCGTTCTTTATTTCTAACGCAGGCTAAAGTATTGCACTGGCCCTCAGCACCGACACCTAACAGTGTCACTGCATTCTGCTGGACCATTATATTTAAATCTTTGCAGATTTTTATGAAGGTATTTTATATTTTCCTGTCTTTTTGTCTCTACTTCTGCTGATTAGACTAACTACAGAATTTCCTGCTGGTGCAAAATAAAGCTCAAGCCCCCTATGAATCTCTGCCGAACATCATGGCAAAAGACTATAAAAATATTGTGTGTTTCAGGAAATACTATGTGAGATGACTAAAAACTTTTTCCATTTAGTGCTTTTCTTTAAGCCTCTTATGTATGACACCTGGGAGAGAAGATGAATCCTAGCAAGGCAAGATTTTGGATGGAAGCGAAGAAACAAAAAGGCTGTCTTGGTCAGGACAAACACGCAATTTTCCACTAGTCCACACTTCAAGGACTCTTGGAGAGTATTTCTAGATTTCTGACACAAGCAAGAGAAAAACAAACAAATGCATGAATCTACAACCATTTCCTTAAAAACAAGACCCAGGAAGACAAAGCTGCTGCTCTTTTCTTTTTATTCTAACCTCGCAATGATAACTGCTCCTGAAAAGACACTTCTTCCTCAGTTGTGAGCTCACAGTTGCTATAGAGATTGCAATTATTCTTTTAAAACTGATTCGGAGTTTGTTTGTGGTTTCATTAACATAAGATTTCCAACAGTTTAGCACGAGCCTTTAACAGCCCGACGTTCATGTGTGTGTGACCGAGTGAGTGGGAATATGTTCCCTATTGGTATGCAGGACATTTTTCAAATTACAGCGTTTAAGTCTCTTAAATGCAAGCCTTTATTCAAAACTTTCTAGGCATTTAGTGGATAATTTACATAGGAAACCGCAATTTTATTGTGGGAGAAGTGGGGGATGAATTCTCAGAGGAGCGTTTAGTGGCAAAGGTCACAGATTTGTATTACAAGTCTGTTTTTCTGACAAAGAACATATTTATACCAAACACTGGGTATCACTCATGGATTTAAAAAACCCCAACAAAACAACAGCTTCTGTTTGAATGTTAAAGTGACAGCAAAGACAGATCTTTTGAAATTGTTCTTACCCTGGGCTCTCAAGAAACTCAGCATATTATTGCCCTTTAGATATATAAATATGGAAGTAAATATATATATATATACACATACACACACACACAGACTTCATAGCCTAGGAATAGAAGATTAAAATTTAGCCATGATATTATACACGTAACTCTAGGCCAAGCTAAGAAAATGGCTTGAAGAGCACATACATACCTACAGTGAACCACAATTGGTCCAGCATGGGCAGAATTCAACGTTTTCACTTTTTTCAGGAATTTCAGCATCCCAATAGGTGTGAAAGGCACCCCGAAATCAGGCCAGCTGGTAAAGTGAAGCTGCGTAACGAGCCTCGGAGCTTTACAACCGTCATGGAGCTGCAGGGAACACAGAGACTCTGACTTTGACGTTTCATTTTTCATGCAAAACATTTCTCGTAAACAAACTTCTGCAGTTATTTATGACTTTAACTCCTGCAACACTTAGAGCCTGACTCAAGGATTAGCAGTTTACAGTGTATGTAAAATACAAACACGGAGTAAAATTACCATATCTTACTAAAATGCATCTTTGCAGTGAAAACTGGAATAGTCCCAGGATAGGATTTCAAAGAACAAGGCTCAGAGTTTATGTTAATAATGGATCAAGTCTTAAGTCCTTTTTCACTTATAAAAATCCTCACAGCACTTCCTTTAGCAGCCTCAGATAAAACTCACAAAATTCAGTCTAAACATTCAGGATCTGCATCGCTAGGAGATGCCAAATGCCAGCTTTTGTCCTATCATGTATAAAAATGAAAGAAGAGCTGCACCTCTAATGGCCAGCTACTGACAGGTTCATGATGTGACCTACTCCTCAAGGATAAAAGAGAAGATACTACAGAAGCAATGACAGCAGAGCTCAGCATCGTTTCATCCGAATTCACAAACCACAACCCACCCTTAAGGTTAGGAGGCGTATGTGTCTCACAAGCTTTCGGTCTGCTAGCCAGGGTCAAGGCTTTCAGACTGGAGGAAGCCAATTCATAGAATCATAGTTTGGGTTGGAAGAGACCTTAAAGATCATCCAGTGCCACCCCCTGCCCTGGGCAGGGCCCCCTTCCCCCAGCCCAGGGGGCTCCCAGCCCCGTCCAACCTGGCCTTGAACCCTTCCAGGGAGGGGGCAGCCACAGCTGCTCTGGGCACCCTGGGCCAGCGCCTCACCCCCAAAACAGGGAACAATTTCTGCCTTAGAGCTCACCTAAATCTGCCCTCTGCCAGTTTAATCCTGTCACCCCTCGTCCTGTTCCCACCCCCTGACCCAGAGCCCCCCCCCCCCTCCTGTCCCCCCTTTAAGCCCTGGGAGGCCGCTCGAAGGGCTCCCCGGAGCCTTCTCTTCTCCAGGCTGAACCCCCCCAACTCTCTCAGCCCGGCCCCCCAGGGGAGCTGCTCCAGCCCCCCCAGCATCTCCGTGGCCTCCTCTGGCCCCGCTCGAGCAGGTCTATGCTCAATGTGTCAGCAGGTCAGTTGGTTTTGTAAGGTTGCCTTGTCTCCACCAATGGATAACCAAACCCTACCTACTCAGCAGAGATTAACAACCAAAAAGCAGCTGGGTCCACTCATAAACTTTCCAGCCCTTCATCTTATCCACAGGATGTACATCTCTGGTACCATTCCTTCTTTCCCATTATGCTCTCTAAGCACAGTTTCTCTGAGCATTTTTATCAGCGATGCCTTATCAGCTATCACCAGTCATACCAAAGTGATCTCTCCACACTACATCAGCACAGACCGTTCCACAGGTCGCAATCTGTAACTAATGCTGAATGAACCCACCCATACTTTGAGGGGTGTTGAGCCCTCCACATAGTTCCACACCGCTACAGGTAGTTTATCACCTCTCACCAGCTCATATTGTCTTCAATCTGAATTCGACAGTCATCACATTACAAGCAGAGCAGCCCTCCCTTTGGGGGGTGAGGATCCCTAGCAATTTGCTCCCATACAAGGTTACGCACTGTGGACAAGAGCAAAGTCACCCCCCCCACCGTCTCTGTTGTGCTCCAAAGCTTTAACTTGTGCCGGTGGCCAAGGATACAACAGAAATCAAGCTGCAACGCTGGCTGATGTCGGCCAGCTGATATCCACAGACTACTCCAAATACTCAAACACATCCAGATTCACTCATTTATCTAGGCGATTTGTCCCGAAAAAGGTCCAGACACCGCTCCTGTGCTCCCTCCCTGACAGTCACAAGGAATGATTTTCTGTGGCCCTTGGCTACCGGTCAAGGAGAAACTGAGCAGAAGCTCTTGCAAAACATGAAAAGTCCCGGATGCTGTACGTGCTGACCTGCAGAGCTTGCCTCCCTGCTTAGGAGAGGAGCCACACCCTTCTTGATTTGCAAATATATTTAACTAATTTCCCGACTTTCTTTTAAGCAAATAGTTGACATTGCAACAGTCGGCTTTAAAAATTAAAACGGAGACCCCGCAAGAGCTCTACTGTTACTCACCGACTGAACGCAGAACTTGCGGATGGTGTAGTCCACCAGAACTATGCAATCTTCCACTGACACGCGGATATTTCCGTAAGTCCAGCACCCTTGGTCAGGCCAATACTGATAACATTTTTCCTGTGCAAACACAGAGGGAGTTTTGTAACCCTAAATCTGCTTTCACTGTCGGTCACTCCTAGAATGATGACGTCATGGGAGAGTAGTGTACATAAAGGAGTATGAGTATGCAGGGTTTCTCATCTGGCACAATACAGCTTTAACACCTTGCTAGTGCTATTGATGCTTACATTTATGCAGAGAAGGTGAGGACAGCTATGAAGTTGTTTTTTAACCCCGCCAGACCTAAACAGCTTTAGTTTCAATTTGGTTTCCTTGTTAAGAAATGCCTAACTGTGGGGACAGTGATGTCTCGACTCTTGATTTTTACACCTTTAGGTGCAGTCAGTGAGAAATGCGAGGCAGTCCTCATTTGGAGTCATTAGGAGGATCCAGATTTATCAGTTCTGGCTTCTCATTTTGGGAATTGGCTCTTCTTAGGGACTGCCTTTGCTGGTGGAGCTTCGTCAAGCAACACTACAGGTGCAGTAAAATAAAGCCCAAGTCCCCAATGTGAAGAGGCAGACGAGGAACGCCCATCCTCATAAACTGCGGCAAGCTGAAAGTATCCAAACTTACCTTTTTTGCTAGTGCAAAATAAAAAAAAAAAATGCACAAAATAGTTAAGAAGGCCAACTTGCACACAGTGATAGGGCGCATCGTGTCTCACGAGCGTGTCCTCACCTCCGTCCCAAGGCCAACTACTGCTGCTTAGCTCGTGTTTCCCCATGGGCAGGAGAGGTCACCCATGGGGGGCGAGAAAAGCTCAATCTGCAGCACTGGGTGGCTTCTGCCTCCTCCCTCTCCTCGCTCCCTCAGCCTCCAAGGAAACAAGGCTTTTTTTTCTCAGGCATTACTTTTTGAGAACTTTATAGACATTTCAAGTAATGATGTAGCACACTCAGTGTGGCAAACTGTCCCCCCGGGGAAAAAGAAAATAATTAAAAACTATCTTTTATGTTTCTGATGGTTCATTTCCTTAATATTTTAACTTAGTTTCTCAAGCCTGCAAAGCAGGAATGAAGTTAAATGTTTCAGGCTTTGTCTTTAGGTCTCAGCATTCAGCCAGCACACGCAGAAAGTCTGGCACAACAGGAGGAGCGAGGATCATCCGAGGAGGAATGGGGGGAGAGGAAGGAAAAGCATCACTCTCACAGAGAAGCAGCTTTGTTTTCTAATTGTTTTGTGCACGTGCCAGAAAGAATTTTGAAACCTAATACTCACAAAAATGAATAGAGTTTTTATATTCGTTTCTAAGCAAACCCACCCACCAGCGCAGGCTTATGCTGAGAATTTGCCTTTGGCTGTGGGCTACACGGGACAAAATTAGCTATCAGAATTTGTTCCTTGAGATCAACTTATATAAATTTGTATTTTGGAAATTAAAGCTACATTTACGAGCAGAAACTCAGAAGTGCTAGCAGGGACAGGAGAAGGAAGTGGTCAGAGAGGCGACTGGCCAGACGCTGAGCAGCCACAACTACTTTTGGAACACGCTCTCGTAGAGCCATCCCAGAGCAAACTGAAAGCTCTTTACCTCTTTTCTTTCTTTCAGGTTGGTTAACATGACGATGACGGCTGACTTCTGCTCCCATATCATCCTCCAGAAATCATTAACTGTTTCTTGCTTCGGTCCTGCAGCCAGAACACAGCTCTGCTCAAGGGGGGGGGGATGGAGACCAGCGTAGCACGAGCACCCCCCGCCCCTCTGTGCCCACCCAGATCTGTGTTTACTACAGACCGCTCAGGTTTGGAATACACCATATATTTATTAAAAAAAAAAAAAAAAAAATCGTATTTTATTTTACACAATCGTAAGGTTTGGAATACACCATATATTTATTAAAAAAAAAATAAAATCGTATTTTATTTTACACAATCGTATGCATTCAAATCTACATTTCTAGCAGCTATCTCCTCTCCTGAAGTATTATGAATGCTCTTTTAAGCAAGCTACTGCAGGAGCATCGTTTAGGTTTTCTGCTTTGCTGCTCTCCCCCACGCCACGGGCTGACACTACCCATGACCACACAACGAAGCACTGTCAGAGAGCTGCTCTTCCTGCCGGGCAGGACAAGACTATTTCTGAAGGAAGGGCAGGGGCAGCGATTGCTTCGCATCTGGGATTGCGGTGACCAAGTTCCCCAGATCTGCGACTAAATACAGCGTAAGAATGCGTGTGAAAATGCTGAATTCTGTATTGGGATTGCTTAGATGGACTGCATTATCAGAAGACATCAATTTTCAAACTCCCGGTAAGGAGATTATTAAAAAAAAAAAAAAAAAAAAAAAAAAAAAAAAGAGAGAGAGAAGCAAAGCAGGGTTGGAGGGGGAAAGGCAAGCCTCTTTGCTCAGAGCAGAATCTGCGGGTGTGAAGGCGGTGGGTCACCTCACACTCACTTTAAAATTCATTTCAGTTGTAACCTCTAAATCCCACCTCACATTTGGCCACCGTCTGCAGCTAGAAATAACATTTTGAAACATGTCTGAAATTAAATATGTTCAGCCAGAGGATGTACAGAAGAGAGAAATGACAGTAACTTACCTTGTGCTGCTATAAATTTATTCTTTTCTTTATAACCCTATGGAAAGAAATATCACAGCAGTTAAATGATCAAATGCCAACATATGCTAGCAGAAAAATACTTATTTAATTCCCAGTCAAAGCTTGAAGTTTGGCCAACAGTGGACAACTGTCAACTTACATCTATATATGATGCATTAATGTAGTCTGAAGGCAGGACTCCATCAATTTGGGTCAAAATCACTCTGGAATGATCATCTGGAAGAAAACACATGACAAGCATGTTTGCATCCGAAATAGGTTATTTCCTTGCAAGCAGGAGGCCAAGCTCCTGTATTGTCTCTAGTTCTCATGAAGAAACTTCCTCCACAAACACCTTGCTTTGCTCCCACACCTGGAGGTCACCGGGACTTTCAGCTCCTACAATACTGGAAGCTCATAACTTCTCCATCTTCACTTGCTCCCAACTAACTCGAGATCGTAAAATATCCACTTGACAGAGTTTAATTTGGTAGAACCCTGTGAGTGCTAAGGCTTTATAGCACAGCACCTGATAACCGTGACAGAAAAACCTAACAGGAGGAGATCCATCCTAGAGATGTGCCACAAAGCAGACAGGTTTTGAACATACAATGAAGAACCTTTGTGACCAGGGAAATTGTATTCCTTGGACATTTTCATCAAATGAACACTACTACCTGCTTGCTCAGTGTCTGATTTAAAAGAAAAGGTAATTTAATTAAGTGTCTGATTTAAAAGAAAAGGTAATGTCTTACATGGCAGGATGTTAGGATATCTGTTTTTCTCCCTGTTTTCTTCCTTATTTGCCATTTCAAATGTTCCCTGCACATATCCAGGTGTTAATGACTGAAAAAAAAAAAAAAAAAAAAAAGAAAGATACAGAAGTCAATGTGTTAGAAAACAGCTAAATCTTGTCTGCCCACGGCTTAGGGAAAATTCTGCATTTATACATAATGCCTTGCATCCAACAGAATTAAATTTTTTTTATTTTTTTTTTTTTTTCCACAATAGTTTTCATTACTCTATAACAGGAAACTACAGACAACGAGTTCAGCATTTTTGGAAAAATAAGCAATTTTTCCACCAGAGATCGCAGCTATTTCGAAAATCCTTAAACTCTGAGCTGCTGCTCGAAGCTGCCATCTGCCGCGGTGATTCACAGCGCCGTGACCCAGGCGCGCGGATGCGCCGCTCCTCGAGCTCCGCTCCGACAGCTACTTTTAGCAATAACAGTTGCTTCAATCGCATAAATAGAGTTCGATTGCTAATAGCTCGCTGCTGAGAACATTAAATATCGAACAACTTCCCGAGATCCACAGGTGAGGGCCCAACTCCAGCAGAAAGGGAGGAGGGAAAAATAAATCGTAATTCTTTTATGCGGAAAGTCGCTGTACGAGCACAAGTTAAATCCCGCAAGTAATCAGCAAGAGCTAAGGCTGTAGATAAATTTAGTTGAGCTTAAAAAAAAAAACAAAAAACACCCAGTCTTGCAGAGCAGGCAAATGAAAGGAAGAAATGGGGAGGAAGAGGGTGAAGATGAGAACAAGGAGGTGCCCGAGGTGGAGTCCCTGCGCCGCCACGGCAGAAGCTGCTGAGGCACCACCACTGGGACCGAGCTGGGGCTGCAGGGGGGAACTGGGGGGGTTGGAAAAGGCACCGTTCATCAAGGGACATGGCACAAGGCTCCTGCCCTGCACCTTTAGCTGCCCCCCTCGCCGCAAACGGCGTAAAGGAGAACGGAGTTTCACCAGGTTTCTTGTACCGACCTCCTAAAAAAACCCGGCGGCAGCGTGTTGGATCCCCGCAAGGTGAAATCCCAGCGGTTTGGGAACGCACAGCCACCTTCTCCCACCCTTCTTCTACCTCCCACTTTCTCACAGCCCCGTCTGAATCACGCAGGGGAAGGGGAAAAAAAAAAAAACAGTAAGCAGCGGTGCAGCTTAAAGCAACTAGCCCCGCTCGGCTGGCAGAGAGCAGGGCTCGGAATTTCCCTTTAAAAGCAGCAATTGGTGTTGTCAGGGTGACACAGGATAAAAGGGCAGCTGTGGGGAGGACTTCTCCTCCACCACAGAGGAAACAGCAACATGCATTTGTGGGTTTGTTGGGTTTTTTTTGTTTGTTTCTTTGCTTGTGGGTTGTTTTTTGTTTTTTGTTTTTTGGTTTTTTTTTTTTTTGTTATACATACATATCACTTAAACTTGTGAATGTAAGTAAAAAGAAAGGAAGGGAGGTTAAAAAAAGAATTGAAAAAGCAAGCTGCTTTTAGCAAACTGCTTAATTCCTCATTTGAATGAGGCCCATGGTTTTGCTAATTAAAATACATTTACAATTTAGAGAACACAGAAACTTAATTTATGTTTTGCGCAAAAAGAAATAATTAGCACTTCAGACACGATTTCTTCGAACTTCAAAACTCAGGCAACAGATTCCCAATAAAGAGTCAACTAAGTCCTGCATCTTCATGTGAAAAACACACGAAAAGGAATTATCTCTGGCAAGATAATCTCTCCTTTCCCTGCTCCTTACTCCTGCAAGACCCTGACACCTCCCCTAGAAACCTCCCACTGTCACGGCGCGGGTGGGGAGCCCCGGTGCAAGGACACAGCCCGTTTCGGTGCTCCCACCCATCTTCAGAGGGGAGGATGTGATTCATGGAGGATGCACTTCATCACATCCTCTCCAGCGCCCCGCGAATCACGAGGAGCCCATGAGTCTTGGGTCATCTGCTGCCAGCGCAGTCTTACCTGCTCCCACTTCACAGGAATCCTAAAATCTCTCCGAAGCTTCCCAGGGGCTCAATCTATCCCAGCATCGGCACATTTTCTCCTTTTTTTTTTTTTTTTTTCTCACTGAATGAGCCACAGGGACATCTTAATGGAGTCAAAATTTAAATTTTCAAAAGCAAATTCTTACAGGAAGGGTTTCAGACATTAATCTGAAAACCTAGGCAATAAGGTAGCCACTGCAAACGTCAAACAGCCAGCAGCTCATCTTGCCTCATGGATGATAACTAGAGGTAAGGGCCCATACAGAAAGGAATATGGAGGTTTTAGTTTTGTTTCTTTTTTTTTTTTTTTTTTTCCTGTGAAGAAAGAACCCACTCTTCCTAATGGCCTATGTTCACAAAGGAATCAAATAATAAAAGTGGAAATGACTGAGAGTAGAAGGAGCCTCTGCTGTTCCGATTAGTGCACAAGTTCAAGAAGTGCAAGGTACTTCTTAAGGGTAACTGAGGCTTTAAGGGTAAAATCAAAAGTATGGAAGAAAACCATTAGGCACATAAATATAAGAACTGTCCTCAAAAATACTTTCTATCTGCTGCATATCTTCGTCTATCAGTGCTTGCTTTTTCTATCCACCAGCAAAATCCCTCGGGCCCTAACTTCTTTGGCTGGTGCACGTGCCTGGCCACTGACAGCTCCCAGAACTCGCCATTTTCGGCCTAACTCTGCTTCAAATTCACAACAGAGACCCTGTATCTGCATTCCCGGGGACGCCTGACCCCCTGACATGTTAGATCAGGCTTCGGGGAGCCGATAGATACAGGTGTAACCTCAGCTGGTGGGAGGATGGAGCTGAGCTCAGGGCTTCTGCGTGCCCGGGGGATGCTCTCAAGGAGAGGTCATCACGCACGAGAAGGGTCTTGATTTCTCAGCCCTTTTCCTTCCAGTGCTGCAATGACAGACTTCTGTTTGTCAGCTTTCCTGCTTTACGCTACAATGTCAATCACTCTGTTTTCCAACTGCCTTTCACCCTTTCTCCCCCTCTCAGGCTTCAGCAAACAGCTCACGTGTCCACGCGAGCAGCCACAGGGGATAGAGCGAGACAAAAAAAAAAAAAAAAAAAAAAAAATACTCTACATAAAACATCGAGCAGACTTTATGGCTCATCCCCCTCCCGGTCACTGCTCAGACTGCTCACTTACGGGGACCGGACCCCAGTTTTCAGACTCGGCACTCGTGTGCAGACAGAAAAGTCACGCACACGCAGCATGGTGCAGAAAATGATCCAAGCAAAGCAGATTTTAAAAATAAAAATAGCTGGCTTGTTTCACTCCTAACTGCAGAGCAAATTAGTCAGGAGAGTCAAAATTCACAAGCGCGCATCTTGTCAAATTAGTTTTCACATCCATTTTGTTGACTTTGATAAATATCTCCACAATGCTCCCTCTCTGAAAAGGCAAAGAAATTATGTGTTTTAAATATATCATCAAACAAATTGCAGATATAAATATGCCACCAATTAAGAAAGCAACTTAACAGACTGTCTAATCAATGCATGCATCGGCTTTGACAACCCCGTATTTGACATTTAAGCTACTGCTCTGTGCAACTCGCTTCTGCTGTTAAGGGAAGTGAAGAGAATTAATAAAAGTATGGAAAAGGCCTCCAAATGCAGACGTGCGAGAACAGACTCATCATGCCAGGCTTCTCCATAGAAACCAGCTTTGCAGCAGCTCACCACAGACTCCGGTTAAGATTCATCTACACGACCACACGTGCCTAAAGCTCGGCTTATGGGCAGAAAATAAAAATCTCCTTTCTGACCAAGACAATGCTTCGAAGAAAAACCCAGAAAGCTGAGATACTTCATAGGAACGTATGTGCTAGGGCACAGGGTGCTGCAAATAGGGAAGCAATGGGATGATAACAAAGAAGAAAAGGTCAAATTACCAAAAAAGTCAAACCTCAATAGTGCAATATGAAAGGCCGCACTCTATTTGCTCCTCTAAGCATTTCCTATAGAGGTGAGACACTCAGACTCCTAAAAAACCCTCCAGCACCACCAAGAAAATTGATGCTAAATAGATTCATATTCAATTTTCCGCTCCTCCAGCTTTCAGGCAAACACTAGAGACCGTCTTTAAATGTTAGCAAGTGTCAAACAGTTGATATATTACAGATTTGGCATCACCGTATCATAATGCAGTTAACTTTTCAGATTTTGTCCAGGTAAAGAGTTACCACGGATGACAGAGCGCGTACAAACAGCACCAGCGCACGCACGCAAGCGCTGAGCCTCTGAGATACCAGCGTCACGCACCAGAGGCTTTTCAAAGAATTGTTAGTGTCTGCAGAGGTTTGGATTTGCCCCCACTTTTCACCGTGCAGCCCCCCACTCCACATGTGAGAACTTACATTGAACTCCTCCCGGAAGAGTTTCCCTTCATCTGCTGATCGCATCCGTATTTCCTCTTCAAGGTTTTCCACTGGAATAGGGAAATACTTCTTTGGGCCCGAGGGAGACCTGCTGAGCAGCATGACCCGTTGCTGTTCTGTTGGTAGAAGGGAAGTAGATGTTAAAGGCATGTCCAGAGCGACAGAGAGCAAGCTATTTCCAACTACAGATTAATTTTTATGCAGGAAGATGCCAAAACAGGCTTCGCATATGACACTTCAATCGGTGCTAAAGCCGATTTAAATGAAATAAAAAATACCAAAACCACAGGCCAAGTAGCTACTTTGAGAACATAACAACTTCAAGTAGAACCACTACTGGTGAAAATAATGGTTTCTGTATTTACACCAGATTAAAATGTGGCCAAGTTTTAGTTAGAAAAGGGGAAGGTTCCTTCTGCTGATGAAGAGCATACCAACCCAGAGCTGCTCTGCCACAGGCCACACAGCTTTGAGTATCTGTCACCAAAGGGATCCGCTAGATTATTTCACTTATAAGGGGGGGGGGAAAAAAAAAAAAAAAAAAAAAAAAAAAAAAGCAAACTAATCCAACAAACCAAACAACCCCCCCAAACTTTAACTTGGCAGACAACAGAAACTCTGCACTGAGATGAGCTGTGGCTCTCGGCTGTCCCAGCCCACCCCAGCACGCGATGGCTCTGCGGCAGCACGGGCTGCTACGGGCACTGCTTGCCGCCTAGACCTCGGCTTGCGGAGGGAAATAAAGGCTCACACAGGGAAATAAACCCCGAGATAAATCCCGGCCACCTCAAAATTGAAACAAGCATCCCCACGGGTGGCTGGGAGAAGAGGAAAGATTAAGCCCGCCGTCAGACGAGTTTTATTTGCCACCAAAGGCTAACAGAAAGGCCGACTGGTTCCCTACACGCCGTAACGGCGGGGCGATCGCCACTTGCAAACTAAAAGTAACAAGATTCATCACCCCCCGGGGCAGGGCCTGGTGCCGGGCCACCGCGGGGGATCTCCAAACCGCGCTCGCCCCGTGGGGTTCCTGTGCCCAAGCACCGACCCAACAGGAAGCTGACGGGTGTATTTAGAGGTTTGACTTTCTCTCCGGCTGCCACCGCCTTTGTTAACCCGCTCTTCGGTTCCTAGGTGGTGACGGGGAACCGGCACCGAGATGTAACTCTTTTCATCGTTAAGTTTTCCTCTTTGTAATGGCTAAAATAATTTGCAGGTGAGAACCGAGCGGCCCCCTCCGCGTTTGCTAGGTTTGAATGCAGCCCCACAGAACAACCCACAGGAAGGGCTTCCCGCTAACAGACATAAACCCAGCACATCGAAAAAGCCAGTGGAAAACAGTTTCAACTCCTGAGAGTGTTTTATTTTAGTGCTGCTGGCTTATAACACTGCCCTATCTCACCCCCTTGCTTGTTTCTCTTCACGTTCAGAAACCAGCCAGTAATTTCACAAAGAGCTAAAAACCGTTTTTTTCCCCTCTTTTAAGAAATACTGCAATTCTTTCTCTAAATACAGTACCAGAAACCCAGATCTTAGCTGGCATCCTAATAAAACCTCTACAAAGAGCATGAAAAACATTTACAAGGAAACATTTGCCATATCAGAACTTAAAATGAAAATGATTTAAAACCAACAACTGAAAGTTAAGATTATATGTACACAGACTTAAATACAGACCTCTATTTTTTTTCCTGTTGCCTCTTTGATAACAATCCCATAACTTACTATAAATAGAAAGCAAACATAACTGAATAACCGAGTTAGCAAACAAGCATGTGCATACACAAACAAAATTCACACTGAGAAGGAAAGCACATCTCTCCGTACCTTGTTCTTCTAAGATCCCATTTGGCATCTTTTTGTCCCCGGAGTTCACCACAGCTTTCCTATGTCTTCTGAACCTGAAATACACACACCGTGCTAACCTGAGGAGCTGTGTTGAAAGGCGACAAGCATTTTCCCAAGCCAGCCTTTACCAACCATGTCATTCTGGAGAAGCTCTTTCTGTTCATCTTGACAGCGAGAGCCACCAGCGCCGCGGCACCCCCCGCTCGGCTGTGATGGAGGCTCCTGCCTCACCATAAGTACGCGTTTCATTTCCTTGTTAGATCATATCGAAACAAGACTGAGCTAGTTCTGCATGCAGAGCTCCGCACAGACCTACCTGAAGAAATAGCCGGCCAACAGAATGAAAATGATGAAGACCAGGAGCAGAATCAGCATCGAAGTCAGTAGGTCTTTGTGCAAATTGTTCTCCTCTGTTGAGTCTGTGGATTGAGCACAGCAAACGTGAAACATGATAGACACGGACTGCCTAATCTGGTACAGAAACCGTGCTTGGTGTAACAAAAATCTGTGGTTCTATGCAATAATCTGCTTGTACTTACTAAAAGCATCACAAATTATACATAAATATAAGCAAAGACGGAATTGAAAGTTCAGTTTTTTTATTTTCCCCCCCCACCCCCCCCCCCCCTTCAAAAGCACAACCAAACTACCTGCTGCAAAGAATAGCAGGGATATTTTTTGGAATGAATGGTTAAGCAAAGAATGTACTTGTAGTCAGGGTAAGTTTAACGGATACAAGGTATTAAGCTAAATTTGAAGCCCATTCCAAAGGTTTGCTGCAGTACCCTTAGGCACACGAGCTGTTTCTCGGCTAGACAGAAATCGCCCACGAATGCCACCCTTTGTGTCTCTGGAGTCAGCAAAATCTGTACAACACGTGCTTCAAACCCAACTCACTGAACAGCCCAAACCACTGCTGCTGGCTGCCCTGGGCCGTAAAGCACACACTGAGCAAGGCAGGAGGGGACAGTGCAAGCTACAGCGTCTTCTACAGCTTATATATCTATATATAATGTAATATATATATTGTCTAAGAACAAGTAGGAATGATGAGACTTTCAATAAATACTCAGAATGGAGATTAAAAAAAAATGTATCTTTGTTATTTCTAGTATAAATTGAGAGTCTCATCCTTCTGGCAATGGTGTTTTTATATGTGTGAATCTACATTTCAGTTTCATTATATTTCTGTAACTTCTTAAAATTCTACTGAACAATTCAATATATAACACATTAAAATCATTAAAAACCCATCATGTTTTATTTAAGAAAGCAAAACTCTCAGCCTTAGCCTTCAGCAAGCAAAATACAACCCTGCTAAGTGTTTTTCTTTTCAACCAGACAAATAAATCCAAGTTATTCTCCTAACACCTCTTGCATTCACACTTCCCTAAACTCTCTTTTTGCTCACTTGCAGCAAAGGCTTTTTGAAGAGATCTTGTCACAAGCCTTGACATAAAATATCATGAAAGCACAAGATTGCGGTAAATATACGGGAATACACAGAGCCTACAATATTATAGAAAAGAGCTCATGTGGATAAACCAACTGTCCAGAATTGATCGCTGCAAAACCATTCGAGTGTTGGTTTGTATCTTGCGAGCAGCTGGAAACTCTCTGGATGCTGAAACAGGGTATTAGGGCACGGAAAAACTTCCTTTAGAGGCGTAGGTGGAAAGAAGGTGGCATACAAGGAAAGAAGGTATCTCAATTCAACAAAATAGTCCAGAGGGAACGCAATAAAATGCATGAAAATTGACATTTAAGCGGTATATAAAGATAAAAGTGACAGACATGACAAAATTGTAATGAGAAACAATCACTTAACAGGGTTCAGAAAATCACTATTGGAAGGAGGATCTGGATGAAGTGGATCAACAGAAAGTTTAACAATTTCTGTGTGGTATTTAGCAATACCGCACTTTGTATAGAAACCAAGGCCTGACAAAGAAACAAGCTAAAAACAAATTTTTGCCTCTCACAGTTAAAAAGGAGCCACTTTAGCCCACTTCTGAAGTTGAGAAATTTCAGGCTCAGTGTCCTGGAACGCTCCAGGATTTAGGGGTTTTGTGTTAGTTCTCATCACTGGCTCTGTGTCAAGACCCATGACACAAGGGGGGAAAAAACAGCAAGTTTGAGTCACGAGGGAATTAAAATTTCCCTCAGTTCATTACACAATACAAAAATCACCCGTCTCTGCCCTTCAGAAGAACTGATGTACCTCACGCCATATTTTTGGAGTGTCTTTGGAAAACGGATTCCCAGACAAACACAGAAAGCCTCAATCCAGCCCTGGAGAAATTCAATCTCCTGAGAGATTACTGTCTAAGTTTCTGTAGTTAAGGACAGAGCCCCCCTGCAATGGCCGATGCAATTCTCTGCATCAAGATCTCACCTCTCCTCCTACAATTTCACAAGGAAATTAGGTCAAAAACCACCAACAGTCCCTTCTTCTTTGTACACGGGCACATCTGTTTTCAAAGCCTTGCACCAATGGCTTCACCTCTGCTGAGCCTGCGTGTAAGGCACGGTGTGGTTTTAAACAGTTTCATTTATCACCTGGGTTTTCTTCAACACCTGCATCGGTAATTTTATAAATGTCGCCCGAATATTGTAAGAGAAAGTTACAACCAGGCTCAGGCCATTGTAAACTCAGAGGCTAAAAGATCTTTGGGCAACACAGCCATCTACATATCGAATGGGATTTTAAGGGGAGACTGAAAGAACAACCTGAAATATTTTTTTTAATCAGTGCTGCTTCAGAAATTGACAACCAAAGCATATGAGGAAAGGCACACAGAAGAGGCAAACGTCCTCTAAAGCAGATCTCTACCGCAGCCACTGCCAGGGAAGATTTTCCACTGCTCCAACACAAAGAGACCCGTGGTCCAAAACCACAGGGTTTTTTGTTCGCAGCCGCACAAGAAAGATTGTCCCGAGGGTATTTTTTTTAGAAATGCAATGAAATAATGACTTTCATCTTGACAAGAGAGGAGGATTATCGCCTGGAGGATGGTGGCAACCCCTCGTGCTTCCCCTGCCACCCACCGAGCCTGACTCATGGGTTCTTCCCAGCTTCATTCCCTGTGCTGCTGGCCCAGTCCTCTGAACGGCTCTTTCTGGAAATGTATCACCCTTTCCGTCAGGGTTATGATGTTCCCATTTTCCGTGTGTGTCAAAACCAAAACCACCCACAAGAAAAAAAAGGAACTAACAGCAGTGGGTGCACATCAGTAACTGCCCCCTGATCCTCCCTCCACGCTCTCTCCCCAGCTCTGATTTGCTTCATCCCCGGATCGTTCCTTTGCAGGTAGGACCCTAACAGTAAAATGGCCTGTGAATAAAAGCGTGATTAAAACACTTTTTTTTCTCCCTCCACAAAAGCAAGCTAATAAGACAAGGTGCGTGGTTTGCCCTAGATACCAAGTCAGATACCTGAAATTATTCTGGTGATTGACAGACAAGATGTTGTTTATCTGGGCATAAGAGAAATCCCACAACAACAGGCCCTATTTTTTCACAGCTAGGAACTTCTTTTCAAAAGACAGAAAACCCTCTACCTCTCCAAAACGAAAACTAAACTGCTTTCACCCATTATTTGGGATAGGTATCAAGTGGGTTTTCTTCAGGGTGCGTCGTTCATCTCTGCTGCCCCTTCAGCAGACACACAAATGTCCTTTAAACAGTGCTCAGTCACACCTGACCACAGAGGCTTTTGGGCAGTGACACGTGCCTCTGTTTTGGGTCAGAACTGTTATTTCAGACATCCAGCCCTACAAAGGACCCCAACCTCCTCCGACATTTATTTTACATCAAGAGTGACTGTCACATCTTGACACAGACCTTATCCATCACGCGGCAAACACAGCACACGCGATCTTCAATAGTGCCACGTTAGAAAATATATCACCATGAATAGAATTCAGGTCAAATTTTAATGGAGGCGTTTTCTCACCTGCAGGCACAAAACCCAGTGCTTCCCAGTTTACCACAGTTTGGTACTTGCACACAACTTCTATCGGAGCAACGCACCCCCCATGGGTGGGATGCAGGAGCTCCTGGACATGTCTCTGCTGAAGAGCTCCATCCAGCTTGCACCAGCGTCTGCAGCCAGCTTGCCTGGTGGCCGTGCAAGACCTCACACGTTAATTTAGGAGACGCTTCAGACAGGATAATCTATCACAGAATGGTTGGGGTTGGAAGGGACCTCAAAGCCCCCCCAGTGCCCCCCCCTGCCCCGGGCAGGGCCCCCTTCCCCCAGCCCAGGGGGCTCCCAGCCCCGTCCAACCTGGCCTTGAACCCTTCCAGGGAGGGGGCAGCCACAGCTGCTCTGGGCACCCTGGGCCAGCGCCTCACCCCCCGCACAGGGAACAATTTCTGCCTTAGAGCTCACCTAAATCTGCCCTCTGCCAGTTTAAACCTGTCACCCCTCATCCTGTAAACACCCCCTGATCCAGAGTCCCTCCCCACCTTCCCTGTCCCCCCTTTAAGCCCTGGGAGGCTGCTCGAAGGGCTCCCCGGAGCCTTCTCTTCTCCAGGCTGAACCCCCCCAACTCTCTCAGCCCGGCCTCCCAGGGGAGCTGCTCCAGCCCCCCCAGCATCTCCGTGGCCTCCTCTGGCCCCGCTCGAGCAGCTCCGGGTCCTTCTGCTGTTGGGGGCCCCCGAGCTGGCCCCAGCACTGCAGGGGGGTCTCCCCAGAGCGGAGCAGAGGGGGAGAATCCCCTCCCTGGCCCTGCTGCCCCCCCTGCTCTGGCTGCAGCCCAGGGCACGGGTGGGTTCTGGGCTGCCAGCGCACGGGGCTGCCTCACAGGCAGGTTTCCCCCCACCAGCCCCCCCAGTCCCTCTCCTTGGGGCTGCTCTCCAGCCACCCCTTGCCCAGCCTGGGTTTGTGCTGGGGATCGCCCCGACCCACGGGCAGGACCTTGCACTTGGCCTTGCTGAACTTTGTGAGGTTTGCCCGGGCCCCCCTCTCCAGCCTGTCAACATCAATGTTCACGTTTCAAAGGGCAACAAAGCATCTTCAGTTTTTACTGTAGTCTGCCAAAGCTCCTCACTTGCCCCACAGAGCAGGTAACTCTCAAAATTCTCTGAGGACAACTGCAGGGAGCAGCAGAGCCCACCAGAGCACACACAGCCACGGGACATAAACCTTTTTGTGTCACCACCTTGCTGGGGGGACCAGGGTGCTACTCACAGTGAGGATGCACATGTGGCACAGGTTGTCCCCATGCCATCATTTGGACTGATGCCAAGGTGCAGACACACTCCAGTGACATTATTTTGGGTAGTCCTTAGTACACTTTGGGGCCATAGGCGTTTTTTTGAAATGTTTGGATTGAGTGAGTAGAAGAGTATTTAAATGATTTGTTGCTGTAAAAACTTCTGCAAGTGCTGAACTTCTGTTTGCTGAACTTTCTGTTTAGATTTATCAGTGATTGATTTATTATATTCAAGCCTCTTGCACATCAGTGTGCTCTTTCTATACACTGAAAACCTACAAGTTAACTCAACAAAAGGAGAACTCCCCTTTCCCAGTTTTCATCTAGCCACCCCGTCTCCTTGAGGTATGGCCAAACTTCTGCTGCGATGACTGGGCAGGAGAAGTCCACCTGTGCCAAGGGGGGTATCGCAAAGCCCAGAGCTAAGCCCTCTCACGGTATTTTTGGAAGAGAGAACCCCAACACTGCAGAGAATCACTGTGCTTCACCGTGCCTTGACTGCAAAGAGGAAGCAGATACGCAGCTGATAACCAGGAGATGCGTTCGGAACGTATGAAAAAGAAATCCAAATTAAAAAAAAGAAAATAAAGAAAGAAATAAAGAAAGAAAGGGTAAAGGAAAAAGAGAGGTAGGGAAGACACACCAGGGTCCACAGCCTGCAGTACACAAGAAGGCAGGAACCGTGCCTGCGCTTGCCACCCCAGAGCCGAGCGCGGCGCAGCCGGACCGAGCACAGCCCCGCCTTGCCACCGCCAGTTTGGGTTGGAAAAGGACCCTTAAAAGTCCCCTAATCCAACCCCCAGTCCAAAAGCACCTATTTCTGAAGTTCTGCTTTTCAAACGAATTCTTGAAATTGAGTATCTCCCAGCAAAGCACCCCTTTGGCTTTTAAATGCTACGTAAATGAGCCAGCCTCCTGCTTCAAAACTCAATTTTCTGATGATGACTTGTCTTCGAGGTGAAGCCTAGCGTGGGAGTGTCCATCTCTGGGTCCCGTCCTGGCTATCGTATAGCAAGACTTCATTCTTCCTATACATTGCTTCAGTTATCTTCAAAGACACCCACTAAACCTCTTGGAAGTTTAGAGGAGCAATAAATAGGGCATCAAAAGCTGCACCATTTGCTGCTTTTCAACCTCCCACTCATCTTAGAGATTCATTACCTCTGCATGTTAATACAGCGGTGGCGGGAAGAAATTGCAAAGATGGGCTTGAAACCCATGAAATATTCATCGAGTAAACACTAAAATTTAAACATTTGGAAAGGACTTAAAAGCTCTACTACTGCAACTCCCAGGCTCCTTTTATATTTAGACCGCATATCAAGTAAGAATACAAGAGGAAGTAAAAGAATCCTGACTATGATTAATACTGAATAACTAATTAATATTTGAGTAACCGGGAATTACTGAAACGCTATGGGCAGTGTCATGCACAAATCATCTGTCACGCATATTTGATAGCATAAAGTTTTACCTACTTGAAATATATATTTATTTATGTAAATCCAAATAAATAAATACTGGTTTATATTTATTCGATACAGTTGAATACTGGAAGTGCAGTTTCTCTACTAAATGGCAGTGCAATAAACCCAGAATATTCTGATTTTAAGACGGGGAAATTTCATGGTACCCTAGTAGGAAGCAAAATGTCAGTAGTGCTGAAAAACTGAGCCATTCAGACTAGGTATCCATGTTCAAAATAAGGATAAACCCAACGATCATAATAATTCAACAAATGTTTTAAAAAATCAAGTCAGCTAAAATAATGACATGCAATAAATTATAACTGTTCCTTGCAGAATTGAAAGCATCTTATCTTTTTTGGATCATGCATCAAATTAGCATGCAGAAGGAATGCTGGATTTTTTTTTTTTTTTTTTTTTAGTATCTTTCCATTCCTTGCATATTCTTTTAAATGGAGTTTTCTTGATACCTTGATCAAAAATCTTTATTTTTGTATTTAAAAATATTGTGTTAGTTCGATGGCTATGAAATGTATTAGATAACCCTATTATCTTGGACCTTTCAACACAGCAATATGTTTTCAGTGTGCACGTACCTGTCCATCAGACAAAACTCTTTGCTTCTCACTGCAAAGTAATGAAGGCTTTGATATTCAGGAAAAAAACAGTTTAGCCATACTAATAATTTCTAAATCGTATCACTGAAATTAAGATTTAATTAAAACACAGATAATAAGATTACTCTTATCTGTATTATCATACTTAAATTCAAGACAATTTGGAATTAAGCTTTGAAGACAAACAGCATCTATGGAGAAACTCCCTTTTTACTAATTTTATTAAAATTCTGGGAAGTGATACACCTAACAAGTTACTTCCCTTTCCCAATTCCCATATTCTTACACATTCAGACTGGTATTAGTAACTTGTTTTCCTGCTCCAGGCGCCGGACAAGAAGCAGGGCACTGACAACTATCAACAGCACTTCAGCACAGCCATTTATTACCAATTTTACACTTGGCTAATTTTTTATTTATGTTAGCAATTTATTTCTTTTGAAAGCCCCAAGCAAAACCCCACCAAGACTGACACTACTCATGGTAGAGCTCCTTGCTCCCCCAACCCTCCACCTCCCCGGCAGAGGTCTGTTAGTGCCCAGGCAGAGCAGTGCTCGGCTGCACCTCCACTGTCCTCCAGCCTCAGATTTTGGTGGAAGCAAATGCCTAACACCTAAATCACTACAACTAAGGACCAAAACAATCAAAGGAGCCATCAGCCATGCCTAGAATGTGATTCTTGTTTGGCTCTCCTTCCATACGGGCGTAAAGTTCACAAGCAGATTAAAACCCAACCAACCAAACCACAACAACACCCTCCTATAAAAAGTGGCTGTCAACAACAGTCAGCTGAACACTTATCAAGATTTCACCACATTGTTTATATGGAACATCATCAGCTTTATGTCCCTTCAACCAAGCCCACGGAGCAGCTACCCCTTCAGAATTACCCCTCAGACACGAGCACGGAGTCACGCACTGCCTCCGCCTGAACAGCAAACCACCGCCTGACCACCACCGCCCGCCAGCACGGGGATTTTGAAGATAGCTAGCTAGGATTAGGGAGGATAGGGACAACGTGCAAGTAAAATCTATCATCCCATCACAGAACATAATAGTAGAATCAGTATCTTAAATAATAAAAAAAAAACAAAAAAAAAACAACAACAACAAACCCTTATTTGACTTGAACAAGCCCCTCTCCAGGACTGTCATGCCTTAGGACATACTTGTAGGAGGGCTCAAAGCAAGAGGAAGAAATTCCAAAAATAGAAATGAGGATGAGTAAAAGATGCTGTGGCGGACCGGTGAGTAGAAGATTGCTCTCAGGTCTCTGAAAATGGCTTTTCTGTTTTTCGCCTGACCTGATCTTATGCAGGACGCCTGCACTATTATCCACGTCCTCAAGCCTTGCTTTAGACAGCTCATATCATCAGAAAACACAGAACATATGTAAAGACTGTAGTTCCTCATGATGTTTGAATATGCTCATCCTGTTGTCTAATTATTAATTTCTTTATTTCATATTATTTGTGTCCAGCTCCCATCACGTTGGAGGATCCACAGTGACAGCTCCTGTGGAGAGCTTCCAGCCCAGGCTGGAGGAGACATCCCGAGCTTCTTCACCTCTCCCCAAACTATCCTGTGCATTTCCCATACATGGGAAAGAGAAAGTAAAGTGTACAGCACCAGTCATACGCAGATCAAATACAGAGGTCATCTGGCACGATTAGAAGCACCTTAGTGGGGTCAAAGTCCTGGAAAATTATCCAGGACTACGTCACCAGGGAGACCTCACCTGAAGTCCCTTTCTACACCTGCACTCATCCCCGCAAATTAAGTGATGTCCTTACTTGTTGTTGTTGTTGGTTTTGGCAATTCAGTTCCATTGGGTGGTAAAGCTTGCGCAAACAGAAAACTAACACAGAGCAGCAGGAGCGAGCAGGAATGTTCCATCCTGGACCTAAAAGAAAATGAGAGCAAAATATAAATTTTCACACCAAATTACTGTTACGTTTTTTTCCTCACGTCAGAACAAAGCTAAAAGAAAAAGCAGTATTCCCTTTAGATGAGGGAAATTTTAAAACGTGTTTTACACTCTCCCATAGCCTTATCGCTTAACTTTCAGTTTTGATGCAGAAGGAAAAGGAAAATACCAGTTGTGCACACTAAAAATTCCTTCCGAACATTTTAAATCCCAGAACGGGAAGATAACGCCCAGCCATCATTCAAAGGCAACGACTCAAATCAGGCCAGAAAAACTACTCTGCATCAGTAAACCACAGCAGCTGAGGACACCGAGGCAGGGAGTTTGGAAGTCACTTCCACAGCTGAGAAGAAAACTCATGAGGACCAGCAGCTGGAATCTCGAGAACGAATGCAAATCTTGAGAATAAATGCAAAACTCGCGGGTTTTTGGGGTGGTTCCTGTCATAATTGCATCTATGATACCTTCTGCAAAGAGCACGAGTAGGAGCAGCGTGGGCTGCAGGGAGGGGAAAGCGGCCCCAAACCCCGGCGTGGCCAGACCCCGTCTCAAGGGTCCAAGTGACTTTGCAAGACCGATACCGTGTGGAACCGCCACACACAATTTTGGCATCGCAGATGCCTGAAGACCAAAACAACAAGGAAAAGCTTTTACTACCAAGCAGACCAGTAGCAACCATAAAGTTTAAAGTATCCGTAATGAGCGCTTTTCATAGTTTTCTTATCCCACTTTGATTTCCTATAGGCATGTGTATGTATAGACCATACATGGTGCTTCACAGGTACATTCCCTTGGAGAACACGTCTGCCACAGCTATGAGTCCACAAGCTATAAAGAATTTCACCAAAGACTTCCAAACACAGAGAACCTCAGGTTTTGTGAGACTGGAAAATAATCACCACTGCAGAGGTTAGAGAAAAGGTATGGTGAGAACGTGCTGCTGCTTTGAAGACTATAGGGAAATTCAAGAAAATAAATAGCTGTAGAAATACTCTAGCCCCTCGAAATGGAGGTTTATGTGGAAAAAAATTAATGTTGTTGTTAATTTGCTCTACAGTTATCCAGTCCCTCATGAACACATTAATTATAAGAGGCTGCCATCTCAGCCATTAGCTAGTCTTGCTTGATTTAAAAATATTTTCTTTGGCATAACACACAAACGTTACTTTCTGTATTTCGCAAATGACAGAACACATCCAGATGGTGGCTCTACATCCATTGCTAAAATTATAACCATTGTAATACTGCACAGCAAAGCTCCTCGAGGTTTCACTAGAATATACTTAATATTACCATTTGCACAGGATATTACATAGTGCTGCCTAACAACAGACAAAAAAAATCCAGGAACTTGGCAGTCATTAGAATAACGATTAGAAAGTCCTTTCTTTCAATGTGAAATGGGATAATCCACCAGAAATTATCTCTGGATAAGCTTGAATGTATAAAAAACTTCTGTAACGACAACTTTCAGACCACCTTTTCGCCACTCTCACATGTGTTACTCAGAAGTGACCCTTACTCCCAGCCTCTCCGCTATACCTAGGACGAAATTCAGATTCAGCACACACCTGGTATTCTTTAAAAAAGAGAAACAGACCCCCAAAATGAATTTTCTCGTGCTCTAAAGGGACGTCGGCAGCAGGAAGGCTCAGCTGAGGGCACCTCAAACCGCAGGTGCCTTAGGGAGCACACAGACCCTTTTTAAGGGGCGGGTGTCAGGTAATCTTATCTGATATTACAGTTCCTTATTTGTTTTCTTTTTCAAGGCTGTTTGGCACAGAGCAGCCCTTCTGCCCACCAGAAGCACTTAAAGCACGCTCCGTTTACCAAGGGGTCCCCTTCCAGAAGGGATGGCAGGATGCTTTCTGTCCATCGCCCCTAAGATGCTATTTCAGATTCTGCCAAGTGTTCTGAAAATACAGGAGTATGGAAGAAAATGAACACGAAAATAAAAAAGCAAAATATATTTTCTGAGGAAAAAAATAACGTATAAAGCTTTTTTTACATGGGAGCACAAACTTAATAGCGTTTCTTTATTCTTCTTCCCCTTCTTACAGTTTGGAAGCTCAATGGATCTAGCTGATTTCTTCCCTCTAACATAATGAGTGAAGAAATAACAATAAGAAGTATTATCAGCGTCAAACTTTACTTTCTTAAATGTCTTTTTTTTTTTTTTTTTTTTTTTCCCAGTCCAGCTTCCTACCAACAGATTTACTCATTCAGTTCCTTCTACTACTCTTTAGAATTTAAGCAGACGAGATGTCTTACACGAACAGGCTCAGTCAACAGCCAGGCTAACCCTGAACCAGCCGTTTTTAGGATTAGACAACTAATTACGCGTAACAGCTTATTGCAAAACGTATCGGCGTTACCGCCGCACGCGGACCTGGTCTGACGGCTGCGACCCAGCTTTGTCGGCCAGAGATCCACCCTCTTACTCCAAAACACTCCAACTTTGAGAAATTGCCTTAACCAGGTGTAACTGGATAAAAATCAAACCCATTTATAGTTTTATATGACAGTCATCATAGTAAGGGGCCATATCGCTATCGGCTATATGAAGTTTTATACCTAGGCTACTTGGGCTGAGTTAACTATATTTTCCTCAGCCTTGTCTATCCATTGTAAGAGTTGATTAAGAAGTTAATATTTCAGTGTTGTAGGAAAGAAAGCCAGGCTGTAGCTAAAGTTAAAAATAAATAAATAAATAAATAAATAAATAAATAAATAGACAGATAGATAGATAGATAGATAGATAGATAGATAGATAGATAGATAAATAAATAAATAAAGACAGTCACCTGCTCTAAAAACCTGCAAGTCACTGTGAATTTTTCTGTTCAGCAGAATAAACACCCCCAAGTGGAATTTGGTGTAATTCTGGAAGCAACCCATGTTATGAAAACCTAGTAAGGTTATACTGTATTTAGCATTATATATAACCTTCCAAAATTTAAAATATAGAATTATAAAGCAATAGTGTGTTGGAAGCTCAAAACAAGCAGCAGCGGTTTACATAAACTGAAGGGAGGGGAAAGGAAGGAAGAGGATTTGGAAATCTGGAATAAAGCCAGAATAACAGTGGAATCAATAGGGAAAGGGCTGGTGTTGCCAGGAATGAGGTGCTGAATGCCGCACTTCACTGACTTTAGTGCTTTGCACCCTCAGCAAAGGCTGCTCAAATCCGCTGGCCTTTCGGGTCATCGACTCCGGCAGTTACAGCGAGCTGCTTTGCTGAATGATTTTACAGAGCAGCGTCGAGTTCACTGGCTCACTGTTAAAACACATCCAGCTCTTTGGAAAAAAAAAAAAAAAAGCAAACCAAAAAAAAAAAAAAATAACCCAAAACAAAACAAAAAAAAACCAAACACAAAACCAAACAAAACCCCCAAAATAATTGAAGTTGCTGGCAGATTTCCAAGAGACTGGAAAGTGTAAGGAACATCGTTTCTCACAAAATTACTTTTAGGAGGGTTTTACAGATACAAAACCATGCCAGACATCTTCTGTCTGCTCTCTTGAACGTGCTACAGTAGAACTTGAATATACAGTCAATGCCTCATGTTGTATCAGAAATAAACACGTCTACAAAGATTATGCAAATTCTGGGATCTTATTATTGTCCGAAGCTCTTTGCATTTCTGCTTGCTGCAAAAAGAAGGATTAAAACTTGCAGCAGATTTGGGTGCAACAGCACGGAGGCTGATGCAAGAGCCTGAGCTTGGCATGGCCATGCGCTACGTACGACCAAGTAGTAAGTATTTCTCTTCAGACTGGGGCAGATGGGGAGGTGAGCAAGTTGCAATAGCATCCAAACACTGTAAGCTTTACTGTATAGTTATATACTTCACATACAGGACTGCAATGATATAATTTTTTGACCCCAAAAACCCCATCGCCATAGACACAGCAGCATTTTCCATCCTGAAGAAGGTACGATGTCATGATACAGTCTGTTAAAAAAAAAAAAAAAAAAAAAAAAAAATAAAAAATAATAACAACTCCACTCCAGAGAGGACAGGCAGGTAGAAAAGCAGTGCTGCACAAGAAAGGACAACCGCGTACTACAAAGGAAGCCTCTTGTTGATAAAATCAGAAAGGATAAGATCCAGGTACAGACACACACTGTCATTATTACAGAGCTTTGCTGTGAGGCAACTGCTGCCCTGCCTGGAAAAAGGAATAGCAGCTGCTTTATAACCGTATGGGGATACAATGCATTTTTATCTACTTATATCCTACTACCTTCAGCTTTTATTTCCTGGATATGCGTGGGTAAATGGCTCAGGCACTTAAGCTTTAACTCCACAGACTAGTATTTTTATGTAGTGAAGGATTCTTAGCTATTTCTGATTATCTGAAGCCTTACAAAGGTGCCAGAGACTCCTGTTACAACCGCAGTTTTAAAAGTCTGCATTGTTATAGAAAAACACGTCTGTGTCCAACAGAGAACTTGATACCATGACAAAAAAAAAAAACAAAAAAACCAAACAAAACAAAAAAAAACCACTGTAAAACTGCACAGCTAACTCAAATCCTGCCAGGGAGGCAAAGCTCTTGAAATTTAAATACAATCCAATAAGCATCAGCTCAGAAAGCAGGGGAGTGCGCGAAGCCCCTGTACATCGGGCTCGCTGCCACCACTTCACACAGTCCAAGGAGATGCCACGGGGGATGGCCAGCTCCCCAAACCGTGAGAAAACAGCATTATTTTCAGGGATTACTGGATTAGTACACATGCTTAATTTCTATTTTCGCTGCAGAACCGAATCCTCATCTGACGTGACAGTTTAAGAATAAAACCTGGGTTTTAAGAAAATACGCTAAATAAAACCTTTGTCGTGCTGCATGGCATTGCTACAGCTGTGTGACTTCTTCAAGGAGCCTGATGCGCAAGCTACTTCAGAGCAAGTTAAATAGAAACCCATTCCCTGCATCCTCCTAAAGCAGGAATAAAACGGCGAAACATCCCA